CTGAATAATCTTATCTTGGAGTAAACTGCCAATATTCTTCATTGTAAGTGATACTTTTATGAGACAGTTTCATTATGAAAACAGGTTGGATGCAAACGTGCGCACTAATAAAGTATTACCATTATTATTTAATCTAATAAAATTTTATTCTATTTAATCTTATTATCAACTCATACCGTGGAAAGTTGTAATAGTTTTTTGGGTTTAAATTTGTGCTCATTTTGCATTTTGAATATTCCAGTTTTCTAAATGACAACAGAGGGATGTTTACCAGCCTGTTGCATCACCTTTTCTTTCAACCATCCCATAATGTTTTCAGCCTCCGTACAGTTTAGGTCATCGTTCTTTCTGCTTTTAATTAAGAAAAATACACACATATTTTCAGTAGATGACAGATCTGGACCGCTGGCAGCCCAGTTTAACTAAAGTTTTCTACAATTTTCTGAGTGTTGATGGACACTGTGTTGGAAAATTTTAAAAAGAAACAGCCTGGATGGCAGCGGTTGTTGCTCCGTGGCCTTAAACGTCAAACTATAGTTTATCCAAAACGACAAAATGAAAATGGCATACTTGTCCAAGAGAGGTGGACTTAATGGAAGAGAAACTGGAGTTGTAATTAGAGCTGATGGTAAGATGTTGGACTCAGCTGACTGAAAGGATGCCAAAGAAAACAGAGTGCGAAGGTGAGAGAAACTGACTCTGAAAGCGAGAGAAAAGAGGTTGTTTTAACCCAGATTCTGCGCATATATATGTAGATAAAGAATGTGAGAGGGTCCACGTGGCCCACCCTCATGTGGACCCGCCGGGGAAGTGTGGCTCCGCTGCCGGCGCGGCCAATCAGAGGAGGCCTGTTTGGCTGGGAGGAGGGATGTGGGGCTGGCTCTGGGAGTCGGGGCATGAGGGAGGCATTGCAGGAGTGTGAGCAGAGGAGGGGAGCCGGAGCGGAGCAGCCACATCTCCGGGAGAACCGGACTATCCGCTGACCAATGGAGACAGGTTGGAGAGTCGTCTCAACTTCTTCGTCGTTTAACCAACTGAGAAGTTCTCTTGTTCGCGAAGTCTGAACTGTTGTGTTTCCTGCTCCGAACTGCAGCCTCTTTGTATTGTCTCCCAGTTCCAGGATGTTGAGCAGATGTGTGGAAGTGTTAGGAAAGTCTTGCTCCCTTTTGCCGTGGAAAACCTGACCGGGCACTCTTTTGTAATTGTCGGCTGTTCCTAACATTACACGCTAGGATTTTCCCTCAAATAATCTTAAGGCCGAGACTATTCCTGTTCTTGTGGGGTACAGATGAGAGATGGCTCTTTGCTCTTTGCTGGAAGTGACCTGTCATTGTCTTTCTAAGCTGCATGTAGGTGCTCCTTTATGTAGTTCGTCTTCAATATAACCATTAAAAGAGAAGTGAGCCCTCCTGTGACCAGTCACCTCCTCTATTGTCTTTCATTAGCTTCCGGGGGCCTCTCATTCAAACTGATCTTGTCAGATTGTAAGAACCCCCTTTTGTTTTTAGCGTCTCTTTCCCGGTCGGTACGAGACGAACGGTGTGTGTGTGTGTGGGGTGGAAAATGCAGGAATCTGGTCCTCGTCATTGATGCGAGCGGGACCCCTGCCTTGATGAGTAAACTCTCCCTAACCCTTCGACCAGCACTAAACAAACACTCTCCATGGCGACGCGTGACTCCGGCCCTGACAGCTCCATAGATATGCAGATTGCTTCCTGTCAGTAGCGGCGTGGAAAGGCGTTTCCTGCTGTTTTTGTTGGAGTGAAAAGAGAAAAGCTGAGTGGACACACTGAGCCGGAGTTGTCCTCCCGGGCCTTTACGAGCAGCCCAGATTGAAATGCCCCACATTGAAATGCCTTTGGGTGTTTTCCAGACCTTTACGTTTAATCTCAGAGAACTCGAATGTCTTTAGTTGATGTTGAATTCAAACCCCTTTTTGCGACATGTCAGTGATTTCTGGCTTTTCCTCACCAGAGTTTGTCGGTTAGCGCAGAGATAGGAAGACCACGTTTAAACTCACAGTTCTCTGATTGTGTGAGATTCCTCTTCTATCAAAGGAAAGGCATTTTGCCACCAGAGGGAACAGTTCCCATAATAAATGTGAAACATTAACAGGCCAGTTCTTACCGGAATACCTCAGCATTTGCTTAGAGTGGCACAAATTCCACATGTGGCGGAAACATTGATGGTTTTCAGAAAATAAACTCCATTGTCTCTGGTATTCCGGTGACTTTTCCCCTTTTGACGCTCATTGTCTCCTTTTTTTTCTTACTTTTCTTTCCTTTGAGATGCGCGATCGAAAAAAAAAAACGGACCTTCAGATCAGACTTTGTATTTACCGTTAAATGTGACGACTGGCTGTTACAAGCTTCCAAAGTATTCAAAAGATTCATCTCTACAATGTCTGGAACCCATTTTTCAGGATCAGAGATACTGTTTGTCACCACATTGCGCTGACCTGGGCTTCATGCTGGCTGTAGATTTCACGCTGACCTCAGAAAACAACCAAATAAGTCTATAAATCTTCCATTCTGAAGCCTACTGCAGATTTAATGACTTTCTGCCTCGTCTTCATAACTTCTGAGCTGTAAAAATACCATTTATTTCTTTAGCAGATATCTGACATCATGTTCTTAGGGTTTTTTTAACCCTCTGGTGCATCCATAAAATCCAGATTTTGCTGGAATCTGATTTGAAACATCTTATCTCACATGCTACAGAACAGCTTTTGCATAATTCTCTGGCACACAGCTTAACGTCTTTATGAAGAGTTTTACGGCCGTCGAACATCCCTGCAGAATCGGGATATCCACTGATCTTCCATTTCTGGATTGGCTTCTGTTCCTGCTTCCCTTTGCGCTTCACATGTGTCAGATGCTGGGATGCCTCATAAGTATGTGCGCTCATGGGGATTAGTGTTGGGGTGGGGGGGTCAGCGGGGTGAGGGCTGCAGTCGGAAAGCCGTAAAAACTCCTCTTTGGATGTAAACCGAGCCTGGAGTAGTCCACCGTCCGCCCCCCGTCCCCCCCCGCTCACTCACAGAGAATTAGAGATCATAAATCCACCCCCAGCCCAACATGTGGACCGGGGGGGGGGGGGCTCTATGTTGGGAAACTTTACGGTAACAGCTTAACTTTGCCGGTCTGGGAACGCCGACAGTACCGATCCACATTCCGAGGCCGCCTTGGAGAATTTGGGAACCACAGGTAGGGCCTTGTTCCTCCAGTTGGCACGTGAGCGAGCGGCTCGACGAGGTCAAAGGTTAAGTATCCAGGTCGTCAAGGCCCTGCGCCCCCCAATCCCCCCCCTTACCCCCCCCACCATCCCCCAGCTGGTTCAGATTCTTTCAGCTCCACTTTGTTTTCCGACGATATTCCTGTCAGCCAGGAATTAGTCTTCCCAAACAGGCCCGACCTGACCCGTTATTTTTTTTTTGTGTTGGAAACTCTCTATCGGTCAGACGGTCAGTCAGGTCCTCGGCCAAACGCCACCAGGACACCAGCTCAGTCTGCATGAGCTCATCCGCTCCGAACACACAATCCAAACATAGTCACACACAAAGACAAACACACAGAACTGGGTCGTTCTGTCCGCTGAAGGGGGGGGGGAGGGGGTTGTTGATATCTCCACAGGATGACACAGATCAAAGTTTGTGTGATGCTCTCACTCCCGCGCACACACACTCTGAGTCACGCCACCGCACGCGGGTTGGAGAATGACTTCATAGGGAGAGACCGAGTCTCAGAGGGAAGAGACTCGGCCCACAGCTGTCTCTCCGAGGCCAGGAGCTCTTTTTAATCCTCCCCAGCATTCCGGCTCCCGTTCTGATGCACGTTCAGCCCCTGTTTGTTGTTCACGTCTCGCCGAGATAAAACCTCCGACTTTTGTCAGGTTCCAGAAAGTTTGTTTGTTCAGACCCCCGGGGTCTCCCGGGGATCCCCGAGAGGCTTTGGGTGGAGGTTCCCCCGATATAGACGAAGCTTTATTCCTATGGACCGTAAAATGATCGGAAAAAATAGCTTTTTTTACACACAGTGAAAGAAAAAGGGCCGAATTAGTCTACTTTATTCTGAGGAAAGTTGACAAGGATGTTAGCGGCCCTATATTTAGAGCAGACGTTGTATTTTCTTTTGTCAAGATCCAAAGTTAAAGGAGTTATCTTTCTAAACATTGCATACAAGTGAATTATGAGCATTGAGACCTTGAGGATTGCCAATAATTGTTATATCTAAAGAAGTAAGATTATAATCAGTCCCACAAAATTTAGCAGGAAACGACGCTTCTGAGAACATTGACCATGAATCCATTTGCGATTTCGACTTTTTAATCGCAACAGAAATGGATTATAAAATTGATTCGAAGCCCCAAATATCAGTAACCCAGCCGTGAACTGTGAGTTTTATAGGCTCACACTGCCTGTTGCCCCCTGATCGGTGTGTCGCTGACTCAGCAGAGTTGACACTGAGGAGGTTATCAGGGGTCATGTGACAGCCACTGTGTTTATCAGCTGCGAGGGCCTCTCCACCAGGCCCCGGGATTGGCTCTCCCCTTTGTATCCAATCCGCTCGCGTTTGGCCTCTCTTCACCTCCCTCTCTGTCATTCAAGCCTTCTCTCTCCTGCCTGGAATTTACACTTTCTACATGGCAATAAAAATGCGTGTGTGTGTGTTTGCTTTATCTTTTAGGTGTGTCTGATGTGACGCCAGCAGGCTGGCCAGGGGAGCGCGGCTTCAATACGATGTAGACGCGGAAAAACCAGGAAGCAGCAGAAGAGTCTGACCGCGGAGGAGGAGGAACAGCAGCTGTGAAACCCGGAGCCGGATAAGGATCCGGGATAAAAGGGGAAGCGGCGCCCTGCCAAATCCTTTACTCCGGCCTTCTGTCGCCCGTCGTCGTCCCCCTACCCTCCAACCTCCAACCAAGGCTCTCGCTCGCCCCTCGGTCCCCGGATAAAGGATCCCGGTCTAGGCCCCGGAGGCCCGCCTACCCGGAACGCCAGCATGTGCCATGTGATCGTCACCTGCCGCTCCATGCTGTGGACCCTGCTGAGCATCGTGGCCGCCTTCGGGGAGCTCATCGCCTTCATGAGCACCGACTGGCTGGTGGGGTACCCGCGCACGCCCAACGCCGTCCTGGGCCCCCACGGCGCCACGGCGGCCGGCGAGGCCTACCGGCCCACGCTGGGCATCTACGGCCGCTGCGTCAAGCTGCCCCACATGCAGCGCGGGATCCTGTGCGGGCCCTACGCCGTGCGCTTCCAGGAGATCGCCAGCGGGTTCTGGCAGGCCACCTCCATCTTCCTGGCGGCGGGGATCCTGCTGCTGTGCGCCGTGGCCTTCATCTCCGTCTTCACCATGTGCTTCCAGAGCATCATGAAGAAGAGCATCTTCAACGTGTGCGGGCTGCTGCAGGGAATCGCAGGTGAGCGCAAAAAAATGCCGGAAAAAACGGCGAGAAAAACGAGCAGAAAGCGGACACCGGCAATTTGGCTTCGTTTTCCAACTTTAGAAAGTGCTTTTTTCGTGGCTTTCAGGGTCAGAGGCTGTGGGCCTCCTCCTAGACGAAGCTAGGAATTAGATACCTCCCTCAATTCAGCTCAATCCCTCGATACTTGTGGGATTCTCATGATTATTTTATCTGAGAGCAATTAGATATCATTTGACGAAACCCAATGTTTAGATTTAAATCAGACTACGCTAACCGCTCAAAGAAGGCCATGTCCAGAGGTATATATTACTTTAAATCTATGAAAATAGCCTCTATTGTTTGCCCTCGTGGTGATTGTGGGTCTCTTTGAGATTATTTTAAACAGCTTTGTTGTCGTTTCGAGTATCTTGTCGACCGTTTTGTCTCTCGGTGGTTCTAAGTCTGTTATACAACCCTTTTTAATTAGTTCTCTTTTTGTTTGTTTCTTGTCTCTGTGGTCATCTTACGTGTCTTTCTTGTGTTTCGTTGGGGTAATTCTCTATGGAAACATGTATCGCGTGTTTTCTGGGGTTGTTTTGGCGTAAAGGTCCATAAGTGATGGAGTGTCTGGAATTAAATCCCGCACATTGAGGCTTTCTCCTTGTTTAAACTCACTCCAGTCCCTGAGCCGCAGATCTCCCTCCGCTGGGATGGCTCATTGGGCCTAGACCTCCACCTCCGTCCAGTTCGAACGGCTCTAATTTCTCACCTCAAACGTCTAAATTTGGCCTAACCTCAGTTGAACCAGTGAGGAAACATCCACGTCTTCAGTTAGACGCCCGTCAAACATCTCTGAACGGAACCCGTTCGGTCTTTATAACGTAATAGCTTTATTTTATTTTTTTGGGCCGAGAAGTGGAGTACGTTTATGGATTTGCAATGTGAGGTGAGGCCACTGCAGGTCATCCGAACCCTGTTGTTTGGATGGATTCCTGCGGTCACCGCCGCTCAGGTGGACGAGAAGCTCTGCTCCAGGGCTCCAGAAAACCCAAACGCTGAGCGACACATGGGGGCGTTGAACGGCCATCGATGCGACAAGCTTTAAAGAGCTTAATGCGAGTGTTTATTTAAGACCTGTGCGTGTTAGTTTTTGTATCCCGGTGGATGTTGGGATGAGAGCTGTGATGCTTTCTTAATCCATGGCAAGGCAGCAGCTCTTTTTAGCCTCAGTGAACGAAAAGAGCACATTCTGCCAACGGGGGTCTATAGAATAGGGGGTTTGCATATGCCAATAATTTGACTCTGATTTCATCCACTTGTTTCTGATATGCTGTAAATCTGACATTTTATTAGATTGACCCGTGAACCGCCCGTTTTCGTGTCTGTTTCTTTGAAACTTTCTCCTTTTTGCTCTCCGTTTTGCTCCTGAATACAAGACGTCTCCTCTTTAGCTCATCTGGATTCTTGGTGTTTTTTTGTTTTATTTTCTGGCTTTGGGAAACTAAAACTGCTTCTTTTACAGTAAACAGCTCTCCCCATTGGCACGATCCTCTCAATAACAGATGTTAGAGAGTGTGAGACTCTGGAGCCAGCCGCGTTCCCCGTTCCCTTTTGAATCGACTACAGCCTATGTTGTCAGTTTTCGAAGATGAAATTACAACTTGGAACTGTCGCATGCGAATTTTACCATCAAGATGTGGAGATTTAAGTTAGTCAGCTATTTAAGTGTTCCGCATAAAGTTTAGACCACAAATAAGGGTCCAAATACCTGAAGCCAGTATCAAACTGAGACCAGAAGTCTCCATCCAGCAAACGACAAGCTGGATTTAATGTCCAAGAGGGGCTCAAAATCTGAATTTCCTGAAAAATGTCCCCAATGCGAATCTTTGTGCGGAGATTCCAGTTGCATGCATGCAGATAAACAGCTGCTGGCTGTAATTTGCGCAGCTGGGTGCCATTAAACTGATGCGGCAGAGCAGGGTTTAACTGGATGATGTGAGTGGAAGAGTGGCGGTCAAGTCTTTCCCCATTTTCTCATTTCAGCGCTTGTCAGATTTAGCTCGAACTCAGAGCTCAGCCTTCCAGTTTTATTTCACGGCCCAGAGCTGTTTGGGTCCACGAGATGAGTGGAATCAAGGGGAGTGTTGTGGCTAAACCGAGAAGTTTGACTCTGAAAAGTAAAAAAAAAAAGAGGTTTAAAGGGTTGTTGAAGGTTGTGGTTGTCTCTGATTTGAGGGCCGGTCTGCAGACAGCAGGCTGAAAGGCCTTTGTGTGCAGTTTCGGGGGATGAAAGCGCCGTGTCTCATTGTGCAGAGGATGAGGATGCGGAAGAGGAAAAGGGGGCGGGGGGGGGCCTCAAACGAGGGGAGGTGGGAAACTTCCCGGCCAGAGTCCGACGGGCCTTCCTGTCCCCTCTCACCTCAAACTTCACCTGCAGAAAACGGCCCGAAACGGCCTTCGTCGGTCAAAGCCCGACCCCCCCCCCCACTGCCCCTCCGCCTTTCCCCGAGGCCGCTGGATGATATCACCCCCTCTGATAACCGCCAGTCATTATTTCCAGAGAGCGTGCCGACCCCCTCGGGGGGGAAAAAACAGAAAACTGGATCCAGCCGGCAGATGTTTGGGGAAGAGGCTGAGCTCATGTGGGAGGACCGGGCTGCCAGAGGTGGTCACATCATCGCCTCCGAGAGCCTCCCCAACCAATTATCCCCATCCTCGCATACTTTCTTTTCTTTCTTTTTTTTCGCCCCTGGCCCTTTCGCACCGTGACACAATCCCTGAACGTTTCAAGCTGGGGAAAGTGACCGTCGGAGGCCGTTCGGAGTCGGACTTGCGCAACAGAATGGCTGAAACAGACTCCGGCTGAGGGTCAAGCGGGTAAAGTTTACATCCTGTCGGCGCTCGTTTTAGGGCCCCGATAGGATTGTTACACAGCAGTCAGATGACTGAGGCGAAAGGCCCCCGGCTCGCTTAAGGCCACTCACGTCAAACCCGAAGCAGGAAAGGATTAGAGACAACACGCCGGGCAAACTCCGCCGTAAACCTGTCTGTGGTTCGTGTTCGTTTTGGTGTCAGGAGCCTTTATTGCCCGCCGTAAAGCTCCCTCCAGCTGTGAGTCACGGGCCTTATTACAGGTCCAACCGTAGACCGTGACTAAGCCCCAGACGGCGAGCAGAGGAAGCAAAACAGCCCTCTCACGGGGATTTGAGCGGCGTTGTAAACGGCGGATAAATGTGACGGGAGATTACGCGTGCTCTGCAAAGAGAGGTCTGAGTGAGACGTAATGGGTTTCCCAAGCTGTGGAGGGCTCTTCCTGGATATGTGTGCTTACACTGGAGCCGTTGGTGTTTTCATAATGACGACACAAAGGGGAAACGGAGCAAACGGGCCGTAGTGATTAACCAAGTGGTTTTTAAGCTGCTGGAAGACGGAAAGTCACTTATTTTGAAAGGAAAGTCACTTATTTTGAAAGCGTTGAAGAAAAATGAAGGCTGAAAGTCAAATTTTTACATTTCACAACTGGTCCACGTACATATCGGAATAATAATGGGAAAAATTATGAGGAGAGACAAAAGGCTAAAGCCTGATAACACTAGAAACACTGAATTAGAGTTAAATCCTGATGTCCAAATTCAAGGTCCATTGCCTTTTGTGTTCTTTTGTAAACTTCAACTTCATTCCTGAGCTGAACAGAAATTTGAACTCCGGCGGCCAGAGAGAGTCCCCCTGACATCTGCTCGCTGAAATCCCTGTCGGTGTTTCCTGTTGCTCCTCTCTCTCCGTCTTCCCGCTTTTCAGCGACTGACCTGCTTCTTATTTATTCCCTGGAAGCGAGAGAGGCGGTTAGGTTTTCTTGGCCAAGAATGCGGACCTGCTGTGCTGCAGCGGGGCGGGGTGGAGGCGGGGGGAGAGGGGGGGTGTGGTTTGGGGGTGGGTTGGGGGTGGGGGGGTGTCACCCGGCGACGGATTGATGGTGCGGATTTGACAGTTTGAAAGTAAAGGCAGATGACAGGCCTGCGCAGAGGGGCGGAGCTTGGTGGGATACCGGGTTAGAGAGGTCCGGCTTTAAGGCGGAGGAAGCCGTGGGGGCTGGGAACCAGCGTGGGTATGTGTGCGGAGGGGGGTGGGGGGGTGGGGGGGGGGTCCCTCGGAGGGGCGGGGTCGGGAATTAAAACCATGCCTTCAATCCATCACCAGGGCCGGTCTGGATGTCGGGGCACGGCAGCAACATGTGGAAAGAATTTATGACCTAGTTTTCATTTCCTTGTTTAATACGATATTGGGCGCTTTGAGAGGGAGCAGAAGAGAGAGAGAGAGAGAGAGAGAGAGAGGAAGTGGAAGGAAAGGAAGAGAGATTAGGGGGAGAAAAAAGAGCGTCAGCTCCTTGTTTGCACGAAGCGGAGCCCGCTCGGCCTAAAGCCTCACTCCCGGCCCGGCTCATTAATTCCCTGTAGTTGTATCAAAGTAGGCCGACCCGCTGGTGTGGTGGTCAGCACTGTGGCCTCACAGCCCAGAGGGCTCTGGGTTGGAGTCCCCCGGGGGGGAACCGGGACCTTTCGGTGTGGAGTTTGCATGTTCTCCCTGTGTCTGTGGGTTCTCTCCGGGTTCTCCGGCTTCCTCCCACCGTCCAAAAACCTGCATGTTAGGTTGATCGGACATTCCAAACTGCCCTTAGGACTGAGTGTGAATGTGTGTGGTTGTGTGTCTCTGTGTGGCCCTGCGATGGACTGGTGGACCGTCCGAGGGTGTAGACCGCCTCTCACCCGTTGACCACTGGGACAGGCTCCAGTCCCCCCCTGCAACCCCATTAGGGAATAAGCGGTTATGAAAATTGATGGATGGGTGGATGGATGGATGGATGGATGGATGGATGGATGGATGGATGGATGGGTGGATGGATGGATGGATGGATGGATGGATGGATGGATGGATGGATGGATGGATGGATGGATGGATTACTGTAAGTTTTAGTGTGAGGTGGTGGTGGGCTCCCTCTCTCACCAGGCCAGTCAGCCAGTCCAAAGTGGGTCACGGTAACACAGGAAGTGACCCCGTCCTCCCGGCGAGACGCAGGACGCCGGGGGGGGGGGCCGGCGGGAAAGTCCAGCGGCTACCTTTTCCTGTTGTTCCCCGGGCTGCCCCCCCAGCGCTGCCTGTCCAGATCCGAGCGGGGGGGCTGCTTTTTCCTGTCCCGCTCAGGGCTCCGGCCGCCACCGTCCCCAGCAGCATTTCAGGCAGGAAATCAGGAAACCGTTTCTGCTCGACGGAACGTTTTATTCGGGGGTGTGGGGGGGTGCCAGGATGGCACTTTTTGCAGGAAATGTTTTTGCTTGAGTTGAAATAATTGTCTGTTTGGATAGGAAGGCTTTATTTGAACCCACACCTTTGTGCGAACCCTGCTGCGTTAGCACTTAAACGTCTGGGATTTGTATTAAATCCCTTTTTTAAAGTCTTCCAATTTAGCTATGGGGATGAACTAGAGCTGAGGGGGGGGGGGGGGGTTATGATGTGAGTAAATCAGTTGGAGCTCTATAGCCGGCAACCAAACTGAACTTTGCTCCCGTTTCTGCAGCCAGGACCCAGAAACCTCCGGAAAGAACCGTAGAAACTTGTTCTACACGAGCGTCTGGGACCGGCCCAAATTCTCTTTTTGAGATAGAGATTATACGCAGAGACTCTGCTGGTAACGAGCGAGATCACAGGCGGCTTTTATGGGCAAACAGGCCGTAGACTGTGGGAAACTATCGGCTATAAAGCGGAGGGAAATCCACTGCCAATCAGGAAATATGTGGAGCAGATTGTCTGCGCTGTCGAATTCTGCAGAGCTAACAAACATCTTGAAGGCATCTGCAAATAATGACGATCGCTCAGTTAGTCTGCCAATCACTTCTAAGTGAATCCCTGTGATAAATCTAGATTTTTCGAGGCTATGCGATCAGCTGTTTGAACCTAAGAAAGACATGCAGTTTCAATTTCTGAAGAAAAGCAGAAAAAAACCCAATCATACTGGTTACATTATTGGTTATTATTGTTTATTAGCAAACTTTGACCCGGTATTTACTTCCTTTGATAACTAAAACAAAGCCTTGAAACCCAAGACATTTTGTTTGAATTGAAGCACAAAAAAGAGCAAAATATTCAAGAAAATTGCGTCATCTTCTTTATTTTTCTGTTTCCCTTCTTTGTTTTGTGCCTTAAGTTTTGCTGTGAAGGCATCCACACAATAAAACAAGATAGCTGTGAAATGAGCTATTTAAAGCAGACTTTGGTCTAAGAGGCATCGTCGTAGACCATCATCGTAACTGTGTTTTTGTCGTTGAGTAAGTTCACGTGACACGTAGATGAGAAAAGATGCCCGTAAACAGAAAAGAATTTAAGAGACACAAAGTTTAGTTTTTTTTCCCTCCCATTCAAACACATGACATGTACATTCCTGAAGAAGAGCTCTCCGTTTCCTGTTGCGGCTGTCCACCGCAGCTGTTGTTTTTTTTTTTTCTGTCCCTTTAATCGCTTAGTTTTCAGAAACTTCTTCAACTGAATTACCGACCGTTTTTTTAAATTGGTTGGAAAAAAAAAAAAGAACTAAAACCTGTTATCCCCTCCCTCCCCCTCAGGTCTGTTCCTGATCCTGGGTCTGATGCTGTACCCTGCTGGCTGGGGTTCAGAGAAGGTCCAGCTGTACTGCGGCCCGGACGCGGCCCCCTACCGGACCGGGCTGTGCTCCATGGGCTGGGCCTTCTACACCGCCATGGGCGGCACCGTGCTCACCTTCGTCTGCGCCGTCTTCTCCGCCCAGGCCGAGATCGCCACCTCCAGCGACAAGGTCCAGGAGGAGATCGAGGAGGGCAAGAGCCTGATCTGCCTCCTCTGAGGCCTCCGGAGGAAGGAGAAGGAGAGTGAGGCACCAGTCTGAGGCTGGCCGCTGCAATCGTTTACCACTAAAACTGAACCCGTGTCGTCCGTCTCGAGTGTGTGTGTGGGAGAAAATGTACAAGTGCCAAGTTCTTTTCCCTGTGTGCTGCCTTTGTCTCTCTGACACTAGAGGTGCTGTTTGTTATCGTATTCGTGTTCGGCGCGTGGGCGCCAGCTCTGTCACCACGCGCCCTGTAAATAAATGTGATTATATGTATTTTGTACATAGTTATGATTGCCGAATGATGGTCAGCTTGATCCGGGCTGGGCTGATGATGTCACTCTTGCCGATCTTGGTTGGAACAAAAACACACAAAAAGAAACTAAAGAAGAAAAAACACTGGTGTTTTTGTCACCAAAACCACAACCAACAAACCTGGATCTTTAAACTCCTTTTTTTTTTTTTTTTTTTGCCACATGTGAGTGTTAACTCAACAAGGGAACCACTACTCAGTCAGAATAAGCGCTCTTTAGCTCAGAGTGGATGTCCTTTTTAGAGCTTCAAGAATGTACTATTTCAATGATTCCTATGTTTTTAGACCCTTGAAATGTATCGGTGGAAAGGATTCTTCACTTGGACTGCATGAGGACGAGCAAAAGAAGCTAATTTTTAAACCTTTTTTATCGAACCTTAACATGAAGCGAGCTCGGTCCTGACCTAAGGCCTGAGAAGCCCTCAGCGGTCATCCTGTAATCTGCACAAAGACATGAACTGGACAACGGGGACACAGGAACAAATGAAGGATTGCTGTTGTTAGTCTGGTTTCAGGGAGCTTGTGTCGAGTTATAGATAGTGTCCTATCTATTCCGATATGTTTCTGCCAAACAAATAAAGAGAAGGGAAAATGAATGAGCTTTGTGTGAGTTTTTTATTTTTATTATTTTTAACGCTGTGTGACAGAGGAGGGAGGAGATGCTCGGCAAGTGGAGGAGTGAGCCTGGTGCTGAGACCTCGGTTTGGCCCTAAAGGAGGGGGAGGTACGCTTTCCAGCCAGCGGGTGATCAGTTTTTCCACTGATGCAGAACTGAACTTTGTGTGCCTCGCATTCATCGTGCGAAGTGTTACAAAAAAGTGCAACGTTGAGGGGCCGAAGTGTTTCCACTCCGCTGTACAACAGGGAATGTTGTGTTTGTCCCTTTTTACAAACAAAGCTCATGAATGTCTGAGATAAACTAGCAGAGTTCCAACATGTGTGACTTGTATCTGCTCATATCTCTTCCTTTTTGCCGGTACAGATTAGATTGCTCCATTTTTTTTTTAACCTCACTTTGATCATGTGACCCACTGGAGAGGGACAGTTCTTGGTTTTTAAACTATTTAGGTCAGTTTATAAAGTAAAAAGTTGTAAAAAGTAGTTTTTTTTTTCCTCAGGAGAGGAGTTGCAGCTAATAATCTCATCTAGAGATGAATACATGGTGTATTTTTGTTTTTGGAACATTCAGCACTAGTTTGAACTGCTCACTCAAACATTTAATGCTCGTATTTGGACTCCACCTGAGTGCATTTCTGTGAGCGATCGCGTATAAAGTCAAGTCCCTCTGCAGATGTTCCCCCCTCCATGTGGACTGCAGAGGAGCTGCTGGCACAACCCTGTGGCTCCCTTCCTCCACCACAAACGGAGCTCAAACCAAACACAGAGCCTGATGACTTCCAGATTAGGCACATGACAAATCGTGCGATCTGAAGAGCGTAGCAGAAAAGTCAGGCACAGTCCACCGCCAGAAGTCTTTGGTTTCTTGAGTCGGAGAGTCCAGAATGAAAAGAGACAGAGCCTCTGAGATGTGTTTCCTCTCACACCCCAAAAATGGGGGGGAAGTGGTGTTTTCTTTCAGGGCGATAATAGCTATTCGTGGCTGGGAACAACTAACACCTAGTTTAGAAATAAGGCTCGAATCTAAAACTTGAAGAATGGACTTCAGCCACTTTTGGATCATGCACAGGCACGATCTTCTGTTTTCAAGTTTTGTACGAATAAAACATGTAATAAACATTTAAAACCGTGAGAATCTTTACTTATATGAGTAATGAATTAGATTACTGGATGGTATACGTGAAAAGCACAACTTTTAGTGAAAAACCCTTAAGGAAAGTTAATGCCCAGTTTAGCTAGTTCCCTCAGCAATTAGAGTCATTTAAGTGTAATTTGGCAGCGTTCAGATTGTTGTTTTGGTGTAACCACAGCCTATTTTGGTTTTTAACAGTTACTGACAGACGTGAGTGTTCTGAGCAAAATTAGGCCCAATAAAACCACCGAGAACCATAAACCCATTAAGGGACAGTGGACAAAATTTAGCTAACGTTCTAGCAATTAGCAGCTAACTGCCAAGAAGATAAAGAGGCCAAAAAAATAAGGTTTCTTCACAGAAAACTGTTTTGGGGTGCTAAAATCAGCATAAACTTGCAAATGTTAGACTTATAAAGCATCAGGTTGATACAAACATGTTGTTTGATGTATGTTAGATGAGCAAGGGACCATTAAAAACAAAACAAAATGAGACTAACCTTAAACTAGAAGCCTGAATGGAGCTACTTTTGAATCATAAACATATTTAAACTTGTTTGAGTTTTTAAGCACATGAACCCTATTACAAAATTGAAAGCTGCATCACTTTGTATCTTTATAGCCTAAATGAATTCAATTACTAGGTTATATACGTGGAAGGCATCACTTTGAGGGACAAGCTCAGCTGCTTAATTCTTTAATCACTACTGACCTCGTCTGGATTTTACCTGAAAGTGCAAGTCCACCTCAGGACTTTGCTTTTCTCTGAAAAAAGCAGAGTAACTGTAAACATAAAAACCATGAAAAGGACAAAGAGGAATTTTATTTAGCGTTAACACAATAAATATACAAAACTCACCCTACTTAGCACACAAATGAAGGAGAATCCAGAGTGCATCTTTAAGTGACACACAACAGCAAACCATCTGTAAATCATACAAAATTTACAAACATTTCTAATATCTTTTCCTCAATTGTTTAATTAAAATGCAGTCAGACGTGACTATGATTACAATTTCATGTTCAGTGTTTCTACCCTTCAACATGATCTAAATCCAGAGTCCAGCTAGACGTCACATTTTACCACCGTTCTCACTTTTACTCACAGTAATTCTCAGCCAAATCACTTAGAAACCCCTAAATCTGTAGGTGCCCATCAGTCCAGCTGTTTTCTGAAATGATGTCGTTTTTTCTTTATAATTGTACAGAGCATCCACATGCACAGGTCCAAATTTAGTGGGCATAGAGAGAGAAGGCATGTTGCAAAACCGAAGCAGAATCACACCGGCCGGCACGTTAAGACTTAAAGGCCCAATATCCTCTATTTTCACACTTTAATAACACACACACACACAGAGGCTTAACTGGCTTTAACATCGGAGGCAACAGCGTCAGCGAGCGGACACATTCATACAGGGGAAAAGTGCTTCGCAGCTCATACAGTATGTAGAAAAATACACATTTCAGGTGATGATTTTCATACTGGACTTCGATTAGAATATATATATTTTTTCATTTGAATGAATAAGATCAGACCTGACCGTTGTTTTGCTGGATTTCAGTGATCATCACAGTAAATTGTTGAAGAAGAAAGCAATCAGAATTGAATAATTACTGGCCACGGTTAGCATCTTTCACACTAATGTGGTGATTTTGAGAGCAGGGGGCCAGTCTCCTCTCACGTGTAACAATCCTGCATTTTCTCACACTTTGCCGTGCAGAGCTGAGATGAGCCTCCAACACGGATAACATGCAGGCGCGCCGTTTCTTTAGGAGGGAAATTTGAAAAACTAATGGGCAGCGGGGGTGAGAGGCCATGCTCAGAAACACACCGTGGAGACTCCAGAGAGCAGGTTCAGAGGGCAACGGTCCGCCAGACTCCAAAGGTTTGTCAGGGGGGTACAAGATGCTCAGCGGAAACATTTCCCCCATCTAATAAAATCAGTTTTTCAATCTAAACTAAATATTTACCTGAATATGCACTGAGATTAAAAGTTATGGGATTATAGAGCTACAAAGTCTTCCACAAATCTGTCCCAAAAACTTTTAATCTAAATCAGGGGTTAAACTGCTAACATCCATGATAGTTTTTGATAATATTATCACCTTGAGCTAAATTTTCTGACCGTGTGATAGAATAAGTCTAAGAAATCTACAGTCGGCACTGGTGTGACAGTTGAAAAGGCAAAATCAGGGGAGGAAGTATCTCTTTAAAGAGGCAAAGACTTACAAACTCTGTTTAATCCAGTTTCGGGACACGCAAACAGGAGGAAGGAAGGCAGCCAATGGGAATGCACGGCATTCAGCTTCAGAGATAAAAGCTCCCTCCACCAGGGGGCAGCAGCGCCGGGTCGGGCTTTCGTGACAGCCAAACCTGATGGAGGGGTGCGTGCACGTGTGCATGAGCGCGGGGGAACAGGCTGGAAAAACGGGGCGCCGAGGCATGGCTGAAAATCCTTAAAACGGAGAAATGCCTGAGTGGTGTTAGAGGGGGGTCGGCTCAGCTGCCTCAGAATCTGCAGACGTTTAAAAAAAAAAAAAAAAGAAGGCACACAAACATTCATTAACTTGGCCACACACACACACACACACACACACTGGAGCGAGCCAACGCAGAGAGAGCTGAGCTGGTAGAGTGCAGCGCCGGTGATGAGTTGACCGGCCGGATCCCAGCGCTCCTCCTCTGTCTCCGATCCGAACTGACTGACCGGTCAGCTGGAGTGCCCTCGTTGGGTTGGGTTGGGGTGGGGGGCTGGGGGGTGCGGGGGGGGTCACCAGGGAGAAGGGCAGGAGCTCTCTGGGTTCATCAGATCTGCTCCTTGAAGCCCCCCTGCGCGGCTCTGGTGGCGGCGTTGGCCGCCGCCGTCTGGACCGTTTTGTTGGTCATAACGCCGGTGGCGAACTCCTGCTGGGCCTTCTCGAAGCTGGCGCCGGTGGTGCGGTACAGCGCGTGGATCTGAGGGGAGAGGGGAGGACGACAAAAAAAAAAAGGTTGAATTAGGGGCTGCGATAGCTGCAACTCAAACTGTAAAAAAAAAATTAAAAAGAAAGAAAAACGTCTACCTTTTTGAACATGATGAGGGACATCACAGCCAGTGAGGTGAAGAGAGCGGCGATGAGGATCATTATTATGCCCACGGGGATGCTTTTGTTCAGGCCGGTCAAAGCTGAGATCCACCCGCTGGAGATAAGAGAGCCAACACACACTAACATCACAACAGTTTCTTAGGATCTCATCCGAGTTAGCTGATGACTAAAACACATCCCTGAGCTCTGGGCTATAAGAACCTCTTTCTCTGGTTAAATTGGACTTTAACACTTCAAATTGGATTTTTGAATCTTTTTAGTGCACTACAGCGGCGTATGGTGATATCTGACCCTAAAAAATTAAGAAAACCAAACCCGCGTCAGGTTATTTCAGATGATTACGAGTCCATTTTAATCATTCTACAGGGAGAACGACTATTTCCTGTCCCAGAAAGGTAAAAAACTCAAGAGCTCCATGTCAGACTCTACAGGCCTCAGCCAGCATGTCAGAGGTTAAAGGTCATGACAGCACCTAGACTGAACAGCAGGTTTGCAAAGCTGCATGTGGAAACCAAAATATGTTAGGATTTTTAACAATTTTGAGATCAAAATGGATCCAACTTTGCATATTACGGACACAAATCGAGTGAGTATAACATTCCTGTGGTCCTCAAAATGTTTATTTCCCCTCTTTGTCTCACCTTGCTCCCCAACCGGAGATTCCAATACACTGGATGACGTAGATACCGAACTGGCAGATGTAGATGAAGAAGAAAATGAAGAACCTGAAGGAGCTGTCGCTCCTGCACAGAGAGAGAAGGAGAAAACAACGGAGGCGTGAGCGGCTGCGTCCCGCGTTCCGGGGGCCTTTTCCCACGCGGCGGCGGGTACCTGAACGCGCCGTACAGCGGCCTGTACCAGCAGACGAAGGAGCACGGCGTGAAGAGCAGGAGCCAGAGGATGGACAGGCCAAAGTCCACGCCGCGGGTGGCGTCCACGCAGAACCAGGCCAGGCAGCCCAGCATGTTGGCCAGCAGCGTCCCCGTGTGAACTGAGAGGGGGGGGGGGGGGTGAGGAACAGAGATAATAAAAAACAACTGTACAGAAAAACAAAGAAGAGAAACTCCGGGGGGGGGGGGGGGGCAGGGGGCACAGGGACTGTGAATAATTCACTCCCACCATTTGTTCTTGGGGTCCTGACAGGGTGGAGTCTAAGGCAGCAGGGTCTGCCCGCCTGACAGGTCAGTGTGGAATATGGCAGCCGGCTAACAGACCACAGATCAAAGGGGTGTGGGGGGTGGGGAGGTATAGGCCGATGTGTGCCCGACAAAAAACCCCGTCTGTTCGATTGAAAGCCGCAGAGCTTTATCACAGAACCGACCTCAGCAATCATCTGACCAGTCCCCTCATCAGACCACATGACGGCTCCACATGTGTCGGTCATGTGCTGCCGGATTCCACTGAGGCCCATTCATTCCCCAACACCAAATACGCCTCTTTTGAACCAGCATTATGGAGAAAGCACACGCAAAAAAAGGCCTCTTCTTAACAGAATTACAAAAACTTCCCTTTATTGGATCAAACCGAGATTTTTTTAAGTTTTCTGATTGAAAAGAGGCTTTTTATTGCATTCCAGCTGTGGGAGGATCCACTTAACCTGAACAGAACATTACTAGACTACAGAAGCAGTTCAGCTCTCACTCTCAGCTCTTCAATCTGACAGAAACATTTCAAAACAATGAGATGAATCTGCTGAGCGGGCCGTTTTTTAACCGCTTGTCTTGAGCCAATCTAACAGACACCATGTCGATAGACACACAGCTGGTCAGTGAGGGCTGAGGAAAGCTTTTTAAAAAATGGGAGAAAGGAATCCAGGTGGCTTTTGCTGCAGCACTTCTGAATAAAAGCAGAAGGTGCTCAGTCATGGATTTAAGGGGCTGCAGGGTGGGCAAAAAAAAAAAAGAAGTTAATTCTGGTGTTTCGTGGCCTGAAAGTGGAGATGAGAGGTCACTCACACATCCAGAGGTAGTACATGATTTTGACCATCTTCTGAAACTCCACGGGGATGTCCACCGTGATGTCGTGGTAGAAGCATGGACCCACGGGGAAGTTCTCTGGGAGCGGAGGCCAGTTGTTTTTCCTGCCTGGAGCGGTCAGAGTTAGCGTGCGGTTAGCGTGGATATCTCGGATATCTGGCTCATTTGCAAAGATAGCAGCCTCCTGCTCCCAGTCTGCTCTCTGGATCCAGGTGGCGAGCAGGAGTCAGCCTTCGCTCTGAACCGATGCACCCTGGTGTTTAGCGGCGCACTCTGACCTCCGGAGGCGCTCAGAGACTGCATCTCTCTCTCGCGGCGGTCCAGCTCAGCGGCCTTCCGCTCCAGCTCCTCCTGCCTCCTCAGCAGCTCGGCGGCCGCTCGCGATGGCTCCTGAGAGCACAAGAAGACCGGTTAGCCACACACAGCCGGGGGGCTCTGGTCCCACAGCCGATTGGATGATGATGGTGGGGCATATGGAGGCTCTGCTTTGAGATGAGACCAGCTTATGCTCAGAGTTTCTTTTTAAATCATCTGAGAAAAGCTCTTCTCACCACAAACCTGCTGAGCCGAACAGTTGCTTTGTGGTTATGGTAAAATACAAGTTAAAAAGCAAAAAAATGGACACAGATCTCTATTTTCTAAGATTCTGTTAATCAGAACTCTTCAAACAAACACACAAAAATGAATTATTTTTCTGAAAATATTAAATCCATGTGAATTTGCTCTCATTAGCCAGGACTTCTCTGATTTCTGCATCTTTATGGGGAGCTATGGGAGCTAAATGAGCCTCTTATGAAGCTAAAGGTTTGACCTTTATGTGCAGCTGTCTACCTTTAAACTGCTGGGAGATTTGAAATGACTTCAGACAAACCTCTGCAGGCACCGTTTAGCAAAAGAGCCCACCAGGACTAGCCTAACCCTAATCCTGACCCTTACCGTGACCTGGACTACAGGCTTTCATCTTAAACGTTTAAAACCTTACGGGTGATTATGACACACCTGTGTCTGAGGCTGTGTGTAGGCCGGGGGCTCCTCTGTGGGTTTCATGATGGCGGGTTGTGGGCCGGCCATCGGGGCCGTGGTCCTGGGCGCCGTCCCCGCAGGCGTCTACAAAACACAGCCAGAATCTGATCATTCTGCCACACGACACTGACAAAATGAAGACCTCTGAAAAGGAGCTAAATACGATGACAATGTTCAGAGACATAGACAAGGAATGAAGACATCAAACGTCTGTGACGGATATCAAAATAAAAGTTAACTACGACCTTTTTCTATCTGTCACAACTTAAACCCAAAGAGCTGCTCTCTAACTTTTGGGACCTCTCAGTAACATCTCACAGACTTTTCCAGAAGACGCCTCATTGGCCGAAGGCTTAAAAAGCACAGTAAGAGATTCTTTCATGTCTTTAAATGATTTAGGCTGAATTTGAAATGATTTACATTGACTATAATGGGTCGTGGCTACACCCCATTTCTGTCAAAAGATAAAATCGATGCATCAAATGCAAAGTTGATAAAGCTGAGTAAAAGAATACAGTTAAAGGTGTCAAACGCGCCATCACATTTATAACTAAACACAACCCTCAGAGATAATATCTCGGTGAATTAACCGTCATGTGTTTATGCTGAAAAAGCAACATGGGAAGCCTTTCCTGACTTTAATCATGACATATCTTAATGACCTCATTTTATCTTAATGTGACCTATAACAGTCTAAGAGATAAAACTACTCACTGATTTGTCATCTGTGAAGGGATTGTACTCCTCTAACCCTGCAGGAGCCGTCTGTCTCACTTGTGTCACTGATGGATCCTGAAGAGAGAGAAAAATAGGATAAAACTCCAGCTGTCTACAGATAAAGAGAACAACATACTAATAATACTGTAGTGTAAAGTTTCAAGTCTATATACGTGGAGAATTTGTATTTCAACAAAGAGACAGCAGCAGAAAGTACAATGTTAGGATTAAAATGGCTCATTTTGTAAGAAAACCCTCCATTATTCTGCCAGATGAAGCCGCAGCAGCTCTCTTTATTCAAACACAACCGGGCCTATAATTCAATACTGGCAACCAAGGGATGATTCCAATAATTTTCACAAGACGGTGGCTATAAATAGCCAGGTCCATGAGCTCCAAATGGAGGGGGTGGTGGCGGTAAATGCCTCTCGGAGATCGATGCAGAAAGAAAAGGAGGTACTTGGTGTTTTCCGCACAAAGTGCAAAATAAAACAAAAGCAGAAGAAACGCACGCTAAGCGAGAGCACGACATTTTACAGACGCACGCCATAACTACCACAAACCGCCTCCGTGTGCACGCAGAGCTCCTCTCTGCTCAGAAGCCGTGAGGCGGCACGTTCCCGCGTTTGTTTTTCTCCGCTTACCATCAGCTGCACCGGCTCTGTCGGCGATAATCATCCACTCAGCCAGTTCCTGAAGCGCTACCCTTCTCAGCTCTGTCCTCTCAGCGATTCGGGCTCTTAAATGTCTGCAAGCATCTCTCCCGCTGCCTCACACACGTACCGACACACAAGTTTGTCACCAAACCAGGGTGATGAATATTTCAGGGTATGTTTTGTTTAAAATTTAATACTGCGCCGTGTGCAGCTCAGCATTCACGCGTGCATATTCACCCACGCTCTTGACCTATAAATCAAAGGATCACCACGCTAGCTCCACCTGTTATATGAGGGCCCACGAAAAGGGATTTTTTTAGGGTTTGGGATTTTTGTCATGTCACCCAGTGAAAGAGGGCTTCTTGTGCAGAAGCAGGGAGGAAAACTCAACGTGAGGAGGCATTTTATGAGACATTTTCCTCTGATCATTCTCCAAGGACTCACGGCATGATGTCCGCAGTCGTCCTTTTTTGTAATGGGTCTAAATTAGTGCAGAGAAATGGGACAAAACAGCCTGAGCGTTCCACTGCGAGGAGCCTGAGGGGATCTTTGTGCCACATGTCGTCATGACGGCACCATATGATTTCATGAAGAATTAAGGATAGCTGGGAGCTGGGAACGAGAGCCCAATCCATTTTTTTCCTTCCAAACAGTGTGGGCCAACAAATGATGGGAAAGTGGCAGAACGGCATGGGGATCACGGCTTGAGTCAGTATGCAAATTAACTATATGAATTATTTACTTCTCCAGCGTCTCTGTAGTCAAACTGTGCCATCAGCATAACCCTCTTCACACACTGTTTTCTATTTGATTACTGTTGACTAAAATGTCACTTTTCTGCCTTCATTTCTCAAATGGATAAAAATGATCTTATTTAAGAGCAGTTCTGATAGTTTCAGTCGCTTTTAAAGTAAAAAAATGTCTACCATTTTTTGTTGAGGTTGTAGTTCTATTATTTATATGACATAAGAAGACTAAAACAAAGTAAATATTTCACTGAGAAAATAACCTGCAGCTAAGAAATGTATGTAAACAGGAGCAGAATCAATAAAGATCTTAAAAAAATATCAAATCTTGATCTAATAGCTTAATATTGGAGCAGTAGGGGCAAAAACATTTTACGTTCATCAAAAACTGAGTTGGAATCGCATAGCTTTGAATACATATTCAATCTTCTGCGTCCGTCTTTGATAAAATGGTGATAAATCCATTGTTGGACCAGCAGCCCGACGTTATTCGACTATTGACTGTGACAGAAGAGCATGAAAACCAGCTTCTAATCACATTTTACCTATTTTAACGCAACACCGATGTGTTTTGGCTTTTCAAAGAGTAATAAAAGCCTAAAGTAGTCCAATTATAATTTATTAAAAACCCTTCATATTTTATAAACAAAGCCAGAGGCCAAGGTGGGTTAAATAGCTAGAAGCAGGGTGTATTTGTTATAAAACCATCAGTTGCTGACTTTGTAAACACCTGATAGGATGACTAGAGGGTTTTAAGAGCCAAAGACACATGATAAAATGTGTGCATTCACCATGGCGGTCAGGCAGCTCAGAGAGGACATGACTCAGAACAAACTGAAACCACAGGATGTTGACTTCTGTGTTACCAGCAGCTTCCTATGCAGAAACGTCCTAACCCTTTAATGCTGTACACACCATATCTGATACACAGATTACCTACTGCACCTTTATATAGTCAAAACTGATTTAAAAATCCTGGAATATTGAATATTACACCTTTTTTCATTTACAGCCAAATAAAAACGTTAGGACTAACTATTCTTTTTTTTTTCTTGGTCAAACTTTATGGGGATATATTTCATTTTATGATTTAACTCTAGCGAGCTAATTCAACAGACGTTTGTAAAAAAAACAACAACATGAACTGTCACAAAACATGACTTTATTCTACTTTAAAACAAACAAGAAACCCGGATATAAAACATAAACAATCCGGAATACAGTCTGGCTCAAAGTGAACACACAAAACAGAAGGTCTCACACAACTAAACGCTTCATTTTATCTTTTTTTCCCCACTAATGTCACTAAAATGCACCGAAATTAAGTAACAGCGCAACCTAAGCCAACTAACAAGTGACTTAACGTGAGATAGCAAGTGCTAAGTCACATATAATTAATCAATGCTGTAAATATACTGATTAAATATACCCAGAGCTGCATAAAAAGCACATTCGAAGGAAGACTTTTGTAAATACGCCTCCCAAAACAGCTGATAACCAGTCATGAAGACTGCTAAGAAGCTAATTTAGCAAGCTAACGTTACCTGAAACGGGCTGTTCAACTGCGGGTCCGCGAACGGGTTGCTGTCGAATTCTGACATCCTCCAAAGACGACGACTTACGTCGAGTCTGTTGAATGTGTCCCAGAGCTGATGGTCAGGGAAAAATGTAGACTCAGATACGTCTAAAAATGCGACTTGCTTAGAGGCAAACGCCGGAGATAACACGGTCAGAGGTAAAGTCAAGAGTTGACTGTTTCCAGAAATACTATCCAGGACCAGGATTGGTTCCTGGCTACGGACTGCACGTCACGTGATCAAACGTCAGCCGGAAGTAAGGGAGTATCTAAAACTATTTTAAAAAAGATGTTCGCGTTCAACTTTTTTAGATATCTTTTTTTAAATTAGCATTTAATTGAATAATTCACATTGTTGAACTAAAAAAAAGTTTCCATGAGAGAACCCTCGTACACTTAAACAGCAAACCAAGTTAATTAGCTGCTACTAATTTAACCACGCTTTTTTTATGTTTTGATATTTCAAAATACTACTTCTTAATTTTATTAAGTTTGATTGAATGTATGGCCTCACACAAATAGTTCAACGCTTTTATCCATATCGATGAAAGCAGCTGCAGCAGACAGCTGTACATGACAATCTAATTTAGCTTTAACCACATTTGTACAAGTACATACATATTCACTTATAAACAACTATAAATCTGCAATGAGGAAAGCACTTTTTGCATGATTTGTTTAAACATTTCCTTTCAAGGTGTCTTCTGGTGAAAAATAAATGTATTATGCATGACACTTGACTGTTCTCAGCTTAACCATTTAGCAAACTCCAAGTAATGATTGATTAACTTCAACTTTGCAAGTTTTATATTTTGGATCAAAGGGTTTAGTGTAAAGTACATTCTTTAAGCAACTAGGTTGTAGCAGAATATGAAGTGTTCTTTTTTCTACTTCTGTGTACTAAAATGGAACAACTTAATGCAGGGTGGGGGGCCAACTCCAGTCCTTGAGTGTCACTGCCCTGCAGATTGTGGGAGTTTCCCTGCTTCAACACACCTGTTTCTGATTTAAAGGATCAACGCAAAAGCTCTGCACAAGACAAATGATGGCATGCTGACATGAATTGCATGTATTAAAGCAAGGAAACTAAAATCTAATCTAAAACCTGCAGGACTGCAGCCCTCAAGGACTGATTTTGGGCACCCCTGACCACGACACTGTTGGGAATAAGCAGCATAGAAAATGGATGTTGTGCGATTGTTGTGTGCCTTTTACTCTCTTTTTTATATAGGATCGTTGCTTTTTTGTCTTTGAAAAGGTATGCTATTTTTTAATATTAAGCTGAATCCTTGTGAATAAAAACTCAAAAAGTGTTGATGTGAGCTGTCTCAAAAAATTGACTTCATAATTAATTACAACTTTCTCACAATTGTCAGCCACTGTCTTCTAAATCAAAGTCATTGTCTCTGTTTTGAGCTTATTTGGCAGAAGCTCTTTCAGCAGAGAAACACATCGAAACAGCCACTGGCAACAGTGGGAATTATCTGACGTCCCGAGTAAAGATACAATAGATTTGTATCTCCATTGATTTTGAAGATGTTTGTTAGGCGAACGACAAGCACGACATTTTTTGCTCACTTTCATCTATCTTCTTTGTTGCCCTGGTAACAGAGCAACTTGGGTCTTTGGACATAGATCCAAAACTTCTAAACACGACATCATTTTAACGGTTTCTTTAATTTACATACCTCTGTTTGGAAGTAAAATGTTTAATTGTACATTGATTTTTCAAAAAAATTATGTTGATTTAATCAAATCGTCTATCAACATAGAGGGGGTTTTTCCCTGTTTTTTTTATGTCTTGTGGATCAGGTGTACAAATTAGAAGGTGTAATCTTTCATACTGCAGTCGTTCTTGACACATTTGAAAGTCGACAACACCAAAGACGAAAATAACTCTTGTGAAAGCAAACAAAAATGAAAATGTCATACCACCACACACCTGTATAGATTAACTTTTAATATTGTTTAATTACTTTTTCTTGTAACCAAGTCTTATTTCACTCTCACTGTCGTCATCATGTACATTTTTATTTAAAATTGCACAAATTTGTGAAGAGTTAGTCCCATTTCATAGCTTAATAAAAAATTTAAAAAACTGTTGTCTCACCTTTGGATAACATCTTTTGTATTTATATGTTGCCATGTATTGTCACTTTTTTTTAGTTTGATGATTACTTTAGCATTTAGAATTCTGTAAAAGACAAAATAACACAACGTCTTGTGATTTAATTTGAAAAAACTTTCTTTGTCATCTGACTTATTCAGATAAGACAAATAGATAACAACACATCACATCGGAAAGAACATTTATTAATTTGTTTGGCTTTTTCACTTTCTGGCTTAACCTTTTATTTGTTTTCATGTAAATATTTCGTGTAAACATGTAGAAGTCTGAACCCTTCGTCGTCCTGGTGGTGCTCAGACCAGAAACGTCTCGTGCTGAAACTTTTCTAGTTGTTCTACATCTACGCGCCATCGACCGAAGCCCAGTCATGTGACTCCAACTTGTCCAACTCACACTTCCGCTTCTGCGTGGAAAAAAAAAAAAGTTGTGTCAAATAAGCGAGAAGTTAAGGCTCAGCGCAAACTTTCGCACCGAAAAAAACGACCCATTTATGTCGAGTTCGTGTCTGCGGGGCGAAGAAGGGTCAGTTTCGTTGCCTTGAAGCGGAGCCATGTCGACGGGGGCCCTGTACAACGACCAGGGCGGCGCGGAGGCTGCGGTGGAAGCGGGGCAGGAGACCACCCCGACCTCCTCCAGCACCGGGGCTGCCTTTGGGCTGTTCAGCACCGACTTCAAAAAGTTAGTCAGTCCCTAATTTATATGTACGTGTGGCCGAGCCGGCCGTCTTGTGGCCGTTTGCAGCCTGCTAACGTTAACGGAGAGCGGCGGGCGGTGATGGTGGCTGACCACCAGTAGCTGCCCCGGAGCCTCCAGCTGCCGCCGGCCGGAGGGGTCCGCAGAAGCCCCTCTGTCGGGCTGCTTTTCCCCTGCTAGCTGTGGTGAATCCACACGTTAAGGACAGGGCTATTTTAGAAGAACACAGGCCCTGAGCAAAGTCATGCGAAGTGCTCATAATCCCTCCGACTTCCACTGAGCCAATCAGTGCTCCTCATCCTGTTTTGTGGAGTTTCACGTCAATACCAGGCTCTTATGAGTCCCATTCGGGCCCTTTTTCCTACTTAGAATGTCCTTATGACATGATTTAAGTCTTTGCTCGGTTTTTAAAAACGTCCAGAGGTGAATTTGTGTTTTCCATTTTTTATCAAGTGATCCAGGGACCGTTTTGGTCATTTTAAATCTTTTGGTTTTGCATCTTTTGTTGCTCTTATCTGGGGTCTGTAGTTTTCCCAGATATTAGTTATTCTCTGTTTTGTGTGCTGTTAGTATTCTTTTTTTTTGGCACAAGTTTTGTGTTCATAGTTTGTTTGCAACTGTTTCTCTTCCATGTCTTTGTCTCCTGTGCAGGTTTTGTGTAATTTGGCTAATTTTCCTGTTGTATTATATCTATTTGTGCACATTTTCAGTATGGAATTTATTGTTAGAACAATAATATGCTTAACAATCTGACTGTATTCCACTCTTTTGCCGTTTTGAGGGGTAAGAGTGCATGTCTTTCCCGTAGATTGAACCGATGGCTTTAAGTGTTTGCATTTCTCTGACAGATCTCAGATGTCGTAGGCGAAATGAGTTCATGCTGACAACCTGTCAGAGTTGGGAAATTATTGCTTTTTGCCCTTTAAAGTTTTGTGTTTATTGGGTTGAACTCTGAAAGCAGGAAGGCGTTTTATGGACAAGAGATTTAAGGCCCTGAAATCCTGTTGAGTTGTATTTTACGTACTTGGATTAAATTATTTTGAGTTTGAGCTTCTGAACTTAAACCCAGAAAGTGTTTTAAACATTTTTAATGTTGTAGCAGCAGGCTTCATCATCTTTGTGTTTTTGCACAGAAAAGCAGTTTTTGTTGGTCTCAGTTCATAAATCTGCCACCAGAGGGCAGCAAAGCACATCTTCAATCCTCTTTTCCTTTTGTTTAAAAAAAAAACTAAATTATTTTGTAGTTCATTTAATTAATTTGAATCAGCTGCTGGGTTTAATGTTCCCCTGCACACAAGGGAAGAGGGAGTTTCGGCCCAATGGCGGATAACTTTTCTTGAGTCTTTTTAAACTTCCTCAGAGGGGTTTTATGTGGTTGTGGTGCACACGCTAAAAACCTTGAAGCTTTCTCTCGTGAGCAGATGGAGGAGGGAGGGGGGCACGGGTCGTATGTTCGGACACCTTAAGGGCACAAAAAAAAAGCCGGGGACATGAATGCTTGCTGTGTCTGCTGCCGTTAGGAAAACCCCGGCTTCATAAGCAGTTAAAGGCCTTTGTTTCTGTTTTTTAGATTTGAGTTTCTGAGCTTTATATGATGTATTTGGTAATAATTTTCTTCATAAGACGTGGAGAAAATTGCATTTTTAATTGTCGAAATGTGTCCATTTTGCCATTAGTCACAGGAAATGATGCTCTTTCTCTGTCATAATGTCAACCGGCCAAAAATGACTTTTTTTCCACTGCTGGTGGTAAATGATGATCTATTGTTCTTTTTCATATGTTGGTGTTAAAGAACAGAAGTGTGAGGGCACAAATGAGCATTAAGTCTTGAATTTTTGTTCATTAAGTAAGAGTAAATGATTAAAAGTCAGAGGGGAACGTTGGCCAAGAGGACAGAGATTTCTGGATCCTGTGGAGGGATTGTTTGAGTGGCTGATGAGTTTTATTTCTATTTTAGTGGGCTACTTTCATTCAAACGGTGTCACATTGCCCCGTTTTTATGGTTGATTCAGTTTAGGAAAACTGAGGCTGAATCCCCTCATTCACGGGAGGAATGTGTGGCTGCCTCGCATCCATAAAGTGGAACATCAAACAGAGTTAACCGGGTTAACTGAGGCTCATTGAGTTATTCTGGTGTCAGAGAACCTCTTGCAGTTATTTGGCGCGTCACGGGAACCCAACTTTGGGATTTGTGATGAATAATGGCTGAACATGAGTTGATCTTGTGTGTTATTTATAACTCGAACGTGTGTAAATTCATCCCTTGGAGCCTCTCTGTGTGGGCTGAGGCTCTTTTTGCCTGCAGACGGGAAGACTGCTGCATCCAGTGCAAGAAAAGGGGATTTTCTGAAGAACTTTGTGTTGGTGGAAGGTTCCAGAGTTACTCCAGTCCTTTGTGTGTTCATACAGCTCCAAATTTCCCTTAATTTGTTTTGCATCTTTAAAATCTCAGATTCTGATATTTTGAGTTCAGAATTGACATTTTTATGGACAAATATCAAAGAAAACCTGAAAAAATAACAAATGAGGTTATTAACCTGAAAAGAATTTTGAGAAATTAATTAGATAACAATAAGCTGACAGTCTGAGACTGCCGGTTTTAGCAGTTTGGCTGCTCCAACACACCTGATGCACATCAGCGGACCCCCCCAGAATGTGCACAACTGAATCTTTTAAAGAGATCCTTTTAATCTCAATCAGGTGTGTGAGGACACGACTGAGAGAGATCTCAGTCTGTGAGTTTCTTTTTTTCAAAACTGTAATATGAGCAATTTAAAACATAAAAAAGAGCAAGAAAATGCAATTAACCCCGACGTCTTGGTGACTGTGATATATTACGGATAAAACAGACAACTTATCTGTAATTAAGTGACTAAAATTAAATGAAATAAATGAAGTGAGCACCTTGGTGTGCAAGCGGAGACGCAGCAGCACTCCCTGAGGGGGGGGACTTTATTAAATGCTAATAGGAGAAAGGCCATTCAAATAACAGGGTCAACAAAAGCATCGGGACGCAGAGTTTAAAGGGAACGGAAGTCTTTTGGGGCCAAAGAGACCCTGAAAGGAACAGCAGTCTTGGAAAGACTCATTTAAACCGAGTCGCCTCTTTCTTTTTGGGCCTGAAAAGGAAAGGGAAAGAAACAGAAATATGTGCATCTGCTTTTAATCTAATCAAATCACCCGACCAAAATCACTGAGGTTCTTTGCTTTCTTTATGTCGTCCCGAGGAAGGTGCAGTGGGCACATTTCTGGCGCTTGTCGCTCCATTCAGGGGCATTTCCTGGCATTCACTGGGCCTCCGTTATCTTCGATGGGGGGCCTGTCCTGTCGGCCTCCACGGCCAAACTTGGCGGGGCACGTACGCTCCCTGGTGTCTGGCTGGAGTGGGTTATTTTGCGGCGGTGGCGATGAAAAGCGGCTCGGTGTTTACCCAGCAGGGTAAGGCCCTCCTTTTTCCCCTAGTGGGAAGTGGCTGCAGCCACACGGAAGAGGGGGGGGGGGGGGCCGGGCCCAGGGGGGGGGGGGGGGGGGGGGGCCGGGCTCAGAGCCGGCAGGCAGGCAGGTGAGGTGGCCGGCGTTCCTCCGGGAGGACGGCTGGCCGGCGTGAGGAGCGCGGCTCTTCCCCTCGTGGCCCTTCCTGAGATGACGGGGCGTCTTGTGACTCGTTTTTGCACAACAGGAGCAGAAGGGAGAAGCCAGTGACGGTCAAAGTTAGTGCGTCCGAGACAAGAGGACCTCTGTGAGGCAGGCAGGGACAGACGGCACAGCACACGGCCGCAGGACGCCGATTACCGGAGCTCGGCTTCCCACTCGGCTTGCGGATTTGCTTCCCCCAGGTGGGGGGGGGCCCTGGACACCAGCCGGTATGGACGGAGGCTTTTCCTCCCTGCGCTCGGAGGCGGTGGGGGCCATGAGGACCGTGCTGGTGTCTGCCGAGAACTTGCAGCTAACTCTGAAGCCCGAGCTGAGCCAGGAGGAGCAGGCCCTCACCCACAAAAAGCCCAAGGAGGCCCAGAAAGCCGGGTACTGCCGTAAGACCCCCTGCAAACGCACACAAGCTTCTTTTTAACAAACGCGTGGTCCAGTTTGGCTTTCCTGCCTCAGCTAAGTACTTAAGTGTTTAATGCCATTCGAAAGATATGAGAGGAAAGATGTTTTAAATGGATAAAAAGGGGTGAGAAGCAGACTTAGAAGTTCCATCAGAAAACGTTAGCTCATTAGAACCAAATGCAGATTAAATCTAAAGCTCGCTCTGATTCAGAAGGTCACAGTTCAAGGTGGGACTTGGTTTGAGGAGGGCGAGGCAGGCGTTTGATTCTGAGGGAGGCTTCACATGTCCAACAAACACGGGCACAAAGGCCTGTTTAGGGATGAAGATTTTCTCTTAAAGTTCTTGAAATCTGATGAAATCAGGGAAGAAGTCATTGAGAGTGCTGCTAGCAGCTCGCTCCGACCTTGTTCTTTGTTCCTGTGAGATGAAGAAATCGGTTTAGACAGTCGGAGAGCTTTGCTTCTGGTCTGATAGATTTGGACAATCGGTCAGTTTTTAACCCCACTGACATGTCGACCGGGCTGGAGGTTCCCACACATGTGCATGTAAGAGGCTGTTTGCCGTCCGCCATCTTTTATGGGCTGTTGCAGCCCCCTCCAGCACAGAGCAACATCTGGAGAGCTCCCAGGGTCCCTGCTGCTCATTGGGTTAGACTCCGAGGTGAAAATAAACCCAAAGACCGCATAAACCGGGTTTTCCTCCATTCACCTGTTTTCTGTTTTCAACTCTGGCTAGTTAGTGAGCTGGATTTTTCTCTTCTTCCTGTTTTCCCCTCCTGGTCAGGGCTCGTTTTGGGGAAGGAGCCCCGAATGATGGGCTGACACTGACCCTAAAAGGAACCCGAACCGAATGGAAGCGGCCTAAATCTGTCCGTGGAACCAAGGCAGTGTTTCTAAAGCTGATCGAAAGCTGTTGGATTACATTTTATAATGGAAACGGAGATATGATTGCCAAATTAATTATTTCCCTGGACTCTGAAGGTTTAATATTTAACCGGTTTTAATTCAGCGCTTCTGTTTCTAGATCTTAGTTTTTTTTGTGTTTTTAGTTTTTAGTCCCACAAAGAAGCCATAATAACAACGCTTCTGTCTGCACCCAGAGTCCTTGTGATGTCTCTAAACTTTCCAAACAACATAATCAACAGTCATTCAATCGGTGCAAAACTAGTGAGACGATAAAATCATGAAACGTTTCCTTCAGCCATTAGAGGCTGATGGCATTATGCTGAGTACGTTCAAGACTTTATTCAGTTTTTTTAGTGACAAACCAGCCTGTAGGCCACAGATTTCTAAAAAATGTTAGAATAAAGCTTGAAAAACTCCCATTGTTTTCTGGTCAATTCTCTGGTAAATCTAATGAGAGGTTTTAAACTTTTGGCTTGTTGTTGCGTGGAGGAAACAAACGGGCTGCTGTGGAAGCGGAACGCCGCCGCGTGCCGGCAGCAGAACGGGCGCCGTCAGCAGCTTTAAGCACAAACCGCTGCTGTGCGCCGCCGAACCCGTCACATTACTGCCGAATGTCACTAAAAATACTCTCTGCCTTCAGAAACGAAGACCTGAAAGAGATGCTGGAGAGCAACAAGGAGTCGCTCAAGCTGGAGGCCATGAAGAGGGTCGTCGGGGTGAGTTTGTCCCTCCAGAAAGGTTTTTTTTTTTTCTCCCGCTGTTCGGCCTCCACACTGAAGCCCGTTGTGCGTTTGTGTGTGTGTGTTTCAGCTCATCGCCAAAGGGAAAAACGCCTCCGAGCTGTTTCCTGCTGTTGTGAAGAATGTGGCCAGCAAGAACATTGAGGTATGAGGACGCCCAGAAACTGGCCGTGGCTGCAGCGGTGATTCATCTCATTACCGGGTGAAGCAGCACGTGGGTTTACTTAAGCGTGACGTCAGGGGGAACTTCCTGTGGCCGAGCCGGAGCTGGGTCACGTGGAGCTGCCCTCAGGAGCGTTTTCTGCCTCACTCCTGCTCGTGTGCCCCGAGCTTTTATTTCAGTACAGATAAAACATCAGGAAAAAAAATGAATACGGGCAGCAGAAAGATAACAGTGGCCTCAAACCAACGCACAGTGTTGTGTAACTTCAAACTTGTGCTCATATCTGGGAGGTGACGCACAAAACAGGGTTAAAACTGCAGTTATTTGGAATAACTGAGGCCAGATTCTGCAATAATAACATTACATCATTACATTACATTATAACCTGGTCCCCTGATTGGCTGGACAAAGTCATGTGGCTGTAATCTGTTGCCATGGCAACTTGGGCTCTAATTTTTTTAGGACGAGCAAGACACCAAATATGGTTTAAAAAAAACAAAAAAACATTAAACACTCACTTCAACCCGTTCTCCCTCACGAGTCCGGCACAGAGACTCGGTTGCCGCTAATCAGAAATCGGTGCAGCCGCATAAAGGCGCCGTCTTTAAACTCCGAGCCTGCATAATGGCGCGGCCGACTCAGCCACAGGGGCCACGGCGCCCCCCCCCCCGGCTACAGCGAGCCGGCCCTAAGCAGCTGCTCGAGGAGGGCCTCCATGCCCAGAGCCTGTGAATATTGATTAGCGGCAGCAAATAATCAGGCGGCGTGATGGGCGGCGTGCTAGCGGGGACCTGAAGCCGTGCGGCGTGCACGAGGCGCGCGGCTCCGGGCGGGGCCGGGGGAGCAGGTGGATGCATGTAATTGGGAGGAGGCAGTCCACAGTCACATCTCCTCTCCTCTACCTCGCTCTCACCAGCTGCTAAGGTAGCGAGGGCCGCTCTGTTCCTCAGCCCTTCCCTTCTCGCCCCTCCCGAAGGCGGCCTCCTCCCCCCCTCCTACCCCCCCGCCCCCCTCTCCTGGTCACCGTGAGGGCCCATTGATCCCCTCTAATTAGCGCACAAGCATAACAGCACAAGTGCCTGCAGCTTATCGACAGCGTTGCGTGATTTGATATCGGCGCTCTTTATTTTCTTTAATCATTTCTGCACTCCAGTCCGACGCCGCTGCGCGCGGGCGTGCCTCCTTTGTGTTTACCTCATTTGCGTATGCGCCTTGAGCGCGTTCTCCACCACCGAGAGAACTTCTGAGAGGAAGACCGAATCCCCTTTTGGTGTGCGGTCAGTTTCTCCCGCGCCGGCTTTAATTGCCTGGCGAGCAGCTCAGGATGAAGCCGGCCTGTGATTTGTGGTCAGAGAAGCCCGATCCTCGAGGGCAGATGGGTTGTGTCTCCCTTTTATAGTGAGTAATGCCGTTAATTCCAGCAGTAATCACCAGAACGATGATTGAGAACGGCGGCGCTCCGCCGCAGGTCAATACGCGCCGGATTAGAAAGCATGGCGCTGATTACTGGCTCAAGCTCCTGGTGATTTGCTCCTTAAAGGTGACCTTACTCCTGACCTCCAGCGTAAAAGCGCGCACCTCTCCGAAATGACCAACAATTCCCGGAGCAAATCATCGTTTTTCATAACTTCTTTTGACCCCGTTTCATAGGGATCTCATCCCCGCCAGCACTAGCTGATGAGAATCAACCTCTGGCCACTTAAACTTGTCAGGGCGGAGGACAAATATTATCCCAGACTCTCCGGTGGGATGTGAAGGATTAAAGGATAAATGGGGGCGAAATAATTTAGAGGAAGTTTATGAAAGGAGCGAAAAAAAATAACAAGCAGGCTCTGTAGTCTGCAGCATGTGCCAAAAGGAAAACTGTTTCACGTAGCATTGTTAGTTTTCCTTTATCTGCTCAATAGATGGAAGAACAAGCACGCACAGTGTGGGCGCTCGGCTTTTTGTGGGGCACTTCCTCTGGATTCGTGTGAAGTTTCCTTTTGTTCTGTCGTCTGCAGCTGAAGAAGCTCGTCTACGTGTACCTGGTGAGGTACGCCGAGGAGCAGCAGGACTTGGCTCTGCTATCCATCAGCACCTTCCAACGGGCCCTGAAGGTAGCACCCCTTCCTCTGTTTTGGTTCCATTCCGGGAATCTTCAAATGTGTGCTGATGAAAAACCCTCCCCTCTGCGGCAGGATCCAAACCAGCTGATCCGGGCCAGCGCCCTGAGAGTCCTGTCCAGCATCCGCGTCCCCATCATCGTCCCCATAATGATGCTGGCCATCAAAGAGGCCGCGGCCGACCTGTCCCCGTACGTCCGGAAGACGTCCGCACACGCAATCCAGAAGCTCTACAGGTGAGGCTCCCTCACACCCGGCCTTATTCTGCCTGGTCTCAGGGTTTGCACAGCAAGCCTTAGGCCATGTTGACCGAAGGGGCTCTGCTCCGCCTGGGCTTTCCTCTTATCAGCCGGGTGTTGCTCCCACTGGCATATTTCAGGGTTAATGAATGCTCAAAGAATGAACAACGTAGTAAAAGGAAACATGAAACCTCAGGTCTTAATAAGAGACTTTTATGTGTTTAGCCTGAAGTTAAAGCGCAAAAAGGAAGATCATTCGCCCTTTATTGGACTTTTATGTGTTTTCCTTTCAAGAGTGCACTAAAAATGTTACACCGAGAGCAAAATGATTGAATAAAACTTAAACCTTTGCCTGCATGAATGGAATCCAGTATTTTCCCTCCAGTTACACAGTCCTCACAAGGCCATAAGAGGCACAAAAAGCATGCTGAAGGTTGTTAAAAATCTGTTGATCCACTTGTGTGTAAACACCTAGTTAAAATAACACCAATGACTTCATTCAAAGTCTATTCCTTAGTATACAAAGTGAGTAAAGGACATGTTTATTCATCAAAAACATCTTGTTGTGCCCCATCTCTGGCGGAGGTCGTGACCTTAATCCATCTTCAGAAAGCCTCAAACTTGTAATATGTTGGTTATCCCTATCCTGTAAAAGTCTGTTATTCTTTACTTTAGTTGTTGATGTGTGGCCTTATTATTTGAAGATAATTAATCCTCATAATGCTGATAATTGTGTCAGACAAACCTTTTCTTCTTTTTGCTCCACAACAAGCTGTAGAAATAAGAAAATAAATCCCTCTCAAAGTCTTTTGATCTGGCTCGCTGGCATTTGATGGAGTTTTGAACATGACGGCTTGATTCAGAGCATCGTGTCCTTTTGCTTTCAGCTTGGATCCGGAGCAGAAGGAGCAGCTGATCGAAGTGATCGAGAAACTCCTGAAAGACAAAAGCACGGTAAGTGCACGCCAGAGACGGCAGACCACCGGGGGGCGCCACAGGCAAGCTGTTCTCCCCTTAGCCCTTTATCACACAGCTCATTCGGCAATGCCATGGTTTGTTAACACCCACTTAAACCCACACATCTTCAGATGCTCCTTGTTAAACGTCCATTTGGAAGGAATTTTCGCACTGATGCTAGTGTCAACTTAATTTTCTGAAAGGCCAGCTTCTTCTTTTTTCCTTTTTTTTCCCCCCTCTTCTTTTTTCCGAAACGGACCTTAAACGAGTCAGATTCAGAAATTCTGCCGGCGGCAGAAACGACTGCGACAGCCCATTGGGAGTCAGCAGGCGGCACCTTCATTTGAGGAGGCCACAGCGGATGCTAACAGTGTTTAAATGCCAATTTCAGATATGTAGATACTGGCCAGAGAATGCAGTTTGTTGTGATTATGTATTCATAGGCTACACCTATCATTATACAAACAAAACAAAGCAGCCCAGGCCAGGGGGGGGAGGGGGGGTGGGTGGAGAGCCCAGTACCAGATGCATAGCATATTTAGCCCCAGACGCTAACGAAGACAGATGACTTTTCCCCCGTTGGAGCTCACATTGTGAGGCAGGGGACGGAGAGAAAGGGCAACATCATCACACAGACACACGAGCGCACCGGGCCGTGATGAATGGTGGAAAACCTAAACGCAGCGCACACTTAATGGCCATCAAACCATGCTTTTTTTTTTTCACGACGCCTGGACGATGCTGTGCTGTGCTGCCACTGAGACTAAACACCTTATGTCCACAAGACTCCACAGACGGAGCAGCTTTCTCATCTTAAACTTGCCTAAAAAGGGCAGCTGGACTTCTGGACTTAGTTAGGAAAGCCTACAGAGACGGTTCTAAAAACGTTTCCCGGCTGAGGTAACCAGCAGAAGCTTCTCTCTGATCCAGTCCTCCACCCCGAACCCCCACAAGGAGGCTGCAGGGTGGAAAAAAAAAGGTCCCTTTAAACAGGAAGAAACCTCAGAAGCGGAACCAGGAAGTACGTCCATCTGGCCGGACCGGCTGTGGGCGACAGCCCCGCGTCACCAGGAAAAAATCAACCTCTCTTTGAGCTTTAGTATAAAGCAAGACCAGTACATTCACCTTTCATAGTCTTACTCTGTGGACTTTTCAATTGCATACATCTGCTTTGACTTATTTTACTCTACATGCATTTATACAATTATTTTTGTGGTGCGCATTTTTAAGACGAGAAATTAAACAGTGCAAAAATTATTAAGATTTATTCAAAGAATATTTAATGAAATGTTCGTCGGGCAGAAGATGAGAAAAATACTTGCCTAAGAGAACACATCTGCTTAAACTAGTCCGCCCACGCGCTGTGGGAGGGTTTCTAAAGCTGTGATATATCGTGTATAATTTTCGCTTATCGCGAAGAGTTCTGGAATCTAACCCCAAAAATGGATAAAGAAGGCGTTATTGATATTACAAGAACGTTCACAGGACGATAACTGGAGAACTCTGCATTGTTTTAATTCCGCAGAAGTTTATGACAGAAAACACTTTTCAACAGTTTCTAAAAGTGAAGACGTTGAATTTAACAACCAGCATTCAAGTTTTCTGATGAATTATTTCATATACCTGGCTTTAGCCAGCGATTGGGCCTCAGTTTAGTCTCTAATCGATATTAAGTCCCTTTTTTTCCTAATTTTAGGCCTTTTTGTTGCCTTTTGGAGCCTTTTTTCAACAAAATGTTCACATTTCTACCTTTGATAGCTCCTGATAATCGTCCCAATTGGCTGTTAGCTTGTAAATGCTGCTTAGCTGATGTCACTTTGGACTTAGTGGAAGGAGGAAACATTTGGTTACCGTTCAATCTGGGCCTTTGTGAACCCCCCCCCCCCCCCCCGACACTTACCTTTGCAGATGTTGGGCTAAATGGCTGTGACACATTGCGGGCTGCTGGTAGGCAGGATGGTTTAAAGAGAAGATGGGGCGGCCTGATGACAGAGACAACATAGGAGTTTGTGCAGCTGTTTTACCGTGATGGATCTATTATCCAGCCATTACAAGATAAATGATCGATCTCTCCCGTCCCACCCCCCCCCCTCTGCCGCTTCTGCAAAATTGAAATGAGAACAGAAAGGAAGAGCAGGGGGTGGGGTGGATACTATGATTAGGGGCTAGGTGAGATGCCCATTAATTTAAGAGGAGAAAGAGGGAGGAGGAGGAGGGCGGGGGGGGAGCGAGTGAAGGGAGGATCGGCCGACCCCACGCTGGGCCATCAATCAAAAAGCCGAACGTTGTCTCTGACGTGATGACCCAGCACTCTCTGCCTCTCTGGCACCTTAATTAGAATTCATAGCAAAATAGATGCAAGGAAACGTTTTGGGCCCTTCATAATTTTATAGGAAATTTATTGTTATTAGAAGAACCATTTGCTTAGTGTGATTTTTCCATTACCAGCTTGTCACACGGGGTAGATAATATGGTCGGGGGGGTGGGGGGAGGGGGGGGGGGACGTGTATGCTGTATGAACTCCATAGATTGGGGTGTCAGTTTTGTTGATGGTGCATGTAGTTTACCTTGGAGCTGTGTCTAATGGGGGAAGTTGGTAAAGAATGCACAAAGCCTTGCAGCGGGGCCCACTGCTCATGCTCAGGAGCGGGGCGGCTCTGCGAACGCCTCAAGGCTGCCAAAAGGACGGCGGCTGAGAAGGAGGCCAACAGAAGAACGCAGAGATGGAAAATGGGCCCATGGCGTGTCACTCGTCAGCATATTCATACTCAGACTGTATAAGGTGCCACTTTTCCAAATAGATTGGTTAAAATATCAGTTAAACTCACGATAACTTGAAAACTTGAAGTATCTTTATAGTGACATTCCATCTATAGGAAATGCAACAGTCCAGAGAAAAGCTTTTTTTTTTAAATACAAAAATGGATGCAGAAGTACAGCTGGAGATGAAATTGTTTGACCCATAAAAATCCCAGTTCTCATAGTCGACAGCAGCACATCATAAACGGTCAAAATATTGGGGAAAATTTTCCACAAATCTTCCTTGTTAGGTTTTAAAGAAAGCAGTTAACATCACCAGTACCCAGTGGAACATTTAATCTGTCTTGTGGACACTTTTGGTTCTACCAAAGTAACAAAAACTGTCGGGACTTTTTTCACTTATTTAGAGTGAACTTCTGAATGATTGTGTTTTTGTGTCCTCGCTCTAATCTGGTTTTAAAGTATTTTTCCAGATCACAAGTCCGTCCTTGTCATCTGAGCTGTAAGAGAATAAAAGAAAAAACATACAAAAGGGGAAAAAAAGTTGGAAGCTTTTTAAATGGTTTGTTTTAAAAACCTAAGCATGTATATAAGGTGCTCTGCGTGTCCCTTTATCTTGGAAGTTCTAAATATCTCTTATATGAATGCTGTGGCTTCTCGTCAGCCAAAAATAGCTGAAGTGACACACTTTATGTAGAATATTTCCCTCTAATGGCATTAAATACTGCGATGTTTCTGAAAATATAACCGTTTTAAAAGGTATCCCAGGGCGTCTCTTTGATGGCAGCCCCTCATTCAGACGACGCTGGTGGATAAAGGCTCTGGATTCCCACTGAGCCACCGGGGGGGCAGAGGGTTTTTCCATTTACCACAAAAAGCATGGCCTCAATCCTTTATACTTGAGAGAAACACTCTTGGGGATGTTTGTCTTTCACTTGCATTGCTTTTGAAAAGTTTACATTTTAAGCGCATCCATTTTCTTCCCAATTATAAACTAACTACCTTGAGGGCTGAATGTGTATTGTAATCAGTTGTAAATTAACACAGTGTTGACTGAAATTGCAATTATAGCACAAGTTGTAACAGGGGTCATGTCTGTTAACCGGCGATTTATTTCTCCAGAGTCTGCGTTTTGTGAGTTGAGGTTTCTGTTCCGTTTGTCAATCTCCACAAACTCATTGGTTAACGGCGGAAATTAAAGTGGGGGTAAAAGAAAAAGAAAAACCGTTTCCTCACTTGTTTTGTTTTTTTCTCCTTTTCTCTCTGAAATGGTGTCTGCAGCTGGTGGCCGGCAGCGTTGTGATGGCCTTCGAGGAGGTGTGCCCGGATCGTATCGACCTGATCCACAAGAACTACAGGAAGCTGTGCAACCTGCTGGTGGACGTGGAGGAGTGGGGCCAGGTGGTCATCATCTCCATGCTGACGCGCTACGCCAGGACTCAGTTCAGCAGTCCCTGGAAGGAGGTGAGGCGCCCGTCCACCAAAGGCCGACTCAACAAAATGCTGATTTCAAGCTTTATTCTAAACCTTTAGAACATCTAGGACATTCGTGAGTCAGAGGAATGAACTGAGCAGAGTGTAGGGAAGTTAGGGAAGTCGGAGCTGGATGTGATCCCAAATGCTGATGGCTCCTAGCGGCCCTGAATGACGACACATGACTAAAAGACAAGGAAAACCTTTAGCTTGTCAAACTTACTGAATAAAAATATGACGCAGTTTGAATGTAACACAAAGGAAATGTTTCATGATGAATTGAAATGAACAGCAAGCAGCAACAAAACAGCAGGAAATGTTAATAAACTCAACGACTAAGAAGTAGATAAAGAAATGTCAAATGTGCAGCTTTAGCTGAGCCCCCATTCAGAATATATTCAGAACAGTGTTCTACAGAAGATTTGCCTAAATAACTGTGTACAATGGAGACGATTCAGCTTATACAGTCAGTTTTTATCTGCAAACTCAAAAGAAATCAAACAAAATGTGCTGACATTTTAAAAATCAGTGTTTAATTCTGACTGCCTTATCAGCTGGTAAATACAGAAAATATTTACTCAATATAAGAAAATCTGTATATGTAACACAAAGACTGCTTCACAGGCTGCCCCCTGCTGTTAAGGAGGTGAATAGCAGACAAAGACAAATGCCCAATGCCAATTTTCTTGTGGGACCAACTAGTTATGAATAAACAACAGTTTTAATCTGTTCATTGAATTTTGACAGGATCAGGTCATAAGAAAACTAGTTCTGTCCCTGGTGAGTTTTTGCTCCTGGTGGGTTAATCCTTAAAAGATTAAGCCGATAACCTAAACATGCTCCCGATATTAATTAAGCTCCTACGACCTTTTGTCGGCAACAATCTGACGACAAACGGGTTTTATGTTTGCGTTTCAGGACGGCGTGTTCGACGAGAACGAGAAGGCGTTCTACGACTCGGACTCGGAGGAGAAGAGGGGCCAGACAGAGGCGAAGCCCTACATCATGGACCCGGATCACCGGCTGCTGCTGAGGAACACCAAACCTCTGCTGCAGAGCAGGAACACGGCTGTGAGTGGGCACACACACAATTCGTTAAAGCTCAACAATTAAATAATTCCACCCATCTAAGCTCTTTCTAGCCACTTTCCTGCAAAAATCAGGCTGAATTTAGATCCTAGAAATAAAATAGATTTAGATTTAAATCCTCTTTAATACAGACTGGACTTGATGTGTTGCTTTCTTCTTTCTGTCAGCTAATTTGAACAAACGGATTAATATTATCATGAAAGAACCAATCAAATTACAAATTACGTGCAGACGCTGAATTGTACCATTTTCAGTCGTAAAAGTTCGAAATATCGAGCTAAATCTACTGTTAAGAAACTCCACCGGCTCTATGTTTTGTGTAAACATTTTGTATACTTGGTTCATCTGAATCTTAAAATAATGATCTTTTTGGACCTGCGCGCATGCGGCGCCTCAAATCGACAATGTCTGATTTAAAAATAAAAGCAGCACAGACTCGCAGCTCCTGGCAATGAGGCACCACGGGATGCATTTTCTTCCATAAATGCAGCGTGCACAGAAGAGTAACTGCCCCCCCCTCCACACACACTTCTAACCGAAAAAAGAAAACCCTGTGAGTGCAGGTCTCCATCATCCGGGAGCCTCAAGGTCTGCGTGGCTGTGTATCAGCGGGAGGAAAAAAGCTCCCAAATGAAAGTGTTGATTAAAATGTGACATGCTGTGTCTTTACTCGCGACAGCACAGTGACATCCTCCATCTTCATAGACGCCCGAACCCTCTCATTGGATGGACACCCGTCCTCCCGCTATTTAAAGCTCCGCTGAAAAATGACCTTTACCGAGGCGTCATGAGCGTCTTTGTGGAGCCCGAAGAGATGCATTTCAGAAGCCCGCGTTTGAGTTAAAACAAGAGTTTGTAAGAGGTTTTTTAGAGATGTTTAAAATTGATTGTGTTTTTTTAGGTGGTGATGTCTGTTGCTCAGCTCTACTGGCATCTTGCCCCTAAACACGAAGTCAGCGTGGTCACCAAGTCCCTGGTCCGGCTGCTGAGAAGCCACAGGTCTGAGAAGTCCAGTCTGCTCCCCCTCCCCTCCCCTCCCCTCTCAGCATTAAGGTTCACCGGACAGAGTTTTCCTGCCCTCGTCTGACCGTCGTTTCCCTGCTTTCTGTGTCCACAGAGAGGTGCAGTACGTCGTGCTGCAGAACATTGCCACCATGTCCATCCAGAGGAAGGTAAGGCCGGCCTCTGACGGCCCCCTCTGTCTGTACAGCTCGCCTCTGAACACGAGTCTCCTCCCAACAGGGGATGTTCGAGCCGTACATGAAGAGCTTTTATGTGAGGTCCACAGATGCCACGCACATAAAAACGCTGAAGGTAACCTTTTCTTTTTGTGTCTGTTTTGTAAATGTTGAAAATAAAGATCACTCCCCCTTTTCGCAAAAGTGTGTTAGCAGGTTAGCTGTTAGCTGATCATAAACATATAAGTCAAATAGGAATTGAATACCAATTCCTATTTGACTTGTATGTTTATGATCTCGTGTCGTGATGGCTTGGATGGTTTTCCTCCAGCTGGTCTTGAATGTTGAAGCTCTTGGCCTGTTTGCAGTTGGAGATCCTGACTAATCTAGCCAATGAAGCCAACATCTCCACCATTCTGAGGGAGTTTCAGGTTTGTTTGTGGCTGCTTTTTGAAGATCGTTTTAAACCGCGTCCCTCTGCGTGATGGGATCTAACGGCTTTGGTGTGACACTGTTCCAGACCTATGTGAAGAGTCAGGACAAGGCGTTTGCAGCCGCCACCATTCAGGCCATCGGCCGCTGCGCCACCAACATCTCCGAGGTGACGGACACCTGCCTCAACGGTCTGGTGCTCCTGCTCTCCAACAGAGATGGTAGGAAGCCCCAGACGAAGCCGCGTTTTGTCCGCGGTGGGACGTCGTAAAGCCTCCTTTTTCCCCCTTTAACTGCAGAGACCGTTGTGGCCGAGAGCGTGGTGGTCATCAAGAAGCTTCTCCAGACTCAGCCTACGCAGCACAGCGAGATCATCAGACACATGGCCAAGCTCTTCGACAACATCACGGTAGGCGGGGCCTCGGAACGCCGAGCGCCGTGTGCCGAGGGGCTGGGCCGCTAAACGCCCCTCTCTCTCTCTGTGTCTCCCAGGTGCCGATGGCGCGGGCCAGCATCCTGTGGCTGATGGGCGAGTACTGCGAGAGGGTGCCCAAGATCGCGCCCGACGTGCTGCGCAAGATGGCCAAGACCTTCACGGCAGAGGAGGACATAGTCAAGCTGCAGACGGTCAACCTGGCAGCCAAACTCTACCTGACCAACTCCAAGCAGGTTCGCAAACCGCCACACAGGCGCCGGCGCGCTGAGCAGTTAGTGAGAGCAAAATACCATGGCGCCCTTTCTCTCTTTTTTTTTTTAATGATTTTTTTTTTGCTAGACTGATACAAACAAGCACACATTACCTTCTTATAGTCACGTGAATCAGAAAAACGTCTCGTGTGCACTTATCAGCAATTGCCCAGTTTTTTGGGGGGAAAAAATAACCATAAAAACAAGGCAAAAAAATAAATAAGATGTAGACATGTAGAAAACAAGCCAGATCTAGAATATATAACATAGATCACAAAACAAGACCAAACAAAAACACCCTAGAAAGTTTATACCAATCATGTTTCTGTATCTAATAAAATATAAATAGAAGGAGACACCCTTACATGTCCAGCAGTTGAGCTAGGAATGGGCCCCACACCTCACTGAATAAGTCTTCCCTCCCAGCCACCCTATAGGTGACCCGCTCGTAGCTGGACATTGAACTTAAAACCTGTATCCACTCTTTAAACTGAGCGGGAGATTTCTAGTGGCATAAAGTTCTCCTGTACCCTGCTGTTATAGCTAAATGACACCAAGGTTTATGGTGTTTTGACATTTTAATGTTACATGGAAGTAATCCCAACAAACATGATGCTCAAACAGCAGCTAAAGCCTCCTGCCACATCTTTAACGTGACGGCGTGCCTCCGAGTGCAGCTTGGCGTCTGCAGGCCCGTTCCATTAGACGGGGAGATATTGGCCTTTTGTGCCGAGTTTATGAGCCAGGACATTATGGCACCTTTTACTCCTCAAAAGGGGTGGGAAAAAAGGGAGGGGGGAGGGGGGGGGGGGGGGGAGATTAGGGTGATTACACTGTCTTCACTGCAGCTTTCAGTGTAAATCATATTTGGTGCTGGTGTGTTTTGTTCCTTAGCTGTGAAAGGAAAGTTTTTAAAAATATATTGTTATTTTTTAAACATTAGTAAACATTAGGCCAGTTGTAGAGAGTAAAAATGGGGGCATGTCCCCGTTTCGGCGTAAAAGAGCCGTTACCCGGTTCCCTACTGAACAGGTTTGTGTGTCTCCTGGCTCTTGTGCGTTCTCCAGACCAAGCTGCTGACCCAGTACATCCTGAACCTCGGCAAGTACGACCAGAACTACGACATCCGAGACCGCACTCGCTTCATAAGACAGCTGATTGTGCCCAGCGAGAAAAGCGGCGCCCTCAACAAGTATGCCCGGCGCATCCTACTGGCCCCCAAACCGGCCCCGGTGCTGGAGTCTGCTTTCAAAGGTACATGGAAGTTGAATTCCACAGGCAGTATGCCTTTCAAATGAAAATGGCTGCACACACAGCAGACAAGCCGTTACTCCTCTTCCAGTAGACTTATTATTCTGGTAGGTCGTCCTCTCTGAAAGGCAGTTAGGTCAGACCCCGTTACCTTGGACTAATGAGATGGGTAAATCATTGTGCTAATGCTCACCTTTTCTGCAATCTAAGAGGTCTCTCATTTTCTCCCCCCCTCCTTCACAAAAAGGGAAAAAAGCTGCCTCCTTCTCCATTAAAATTCACAGGTAGTTTCCACTTACTGGGCGTTTATGGAAGGCCCTAACCACCTCTGTCATTCTTAATATTCAGACTTTTTTCTTTTTAAGCAGACGACTGTTTTCAGAGCAGACACTGATTATCTTACTGCTCACAGGGGACAGAAAAGAGGAAAACCGAGATGTGCTAAACATGCACGATGAAGGGCGTGATGCCCAAATCTGCCAGAATCTCTGTTCTCCTCTTTAAGAGTTGACGTTTTCTGTGACCTGCTTCGCCCTCCCGACAGATCGCGATCGTTACCAGCTGGGCACGCTCTCTCACAGCCTCAACACCAAAGCTGCCGGCTACCAGGAGCTCTCAGACTGGCCGGCTGTGGCCCCTGACCAGTCTGTGAGGAACGTGGAGGTCATCGAACCGGTAAGAATCCAAACCAGAGCAAAAAAAACACAGAAAACATAAACAATTTAAACATTAATTAATATGTCAGCTGTTAAAAAAGGCTGATGAGCACACAAACTCTGAAGATTGAAAACAGGGGAAACGTACCAGTGAAAGCCAGAGTTTACTATGAAGCTTTCACATGCTGTCTAAGGGAAAAAATTTGCGAAATCTGGGACTCTATTTTGGTCAAATAAACCAAGATTAAACAGGATTGTTATTTTAAGAAGTATCAAGACATCTTGTTGTAAACCAGAAATTTGTGCTGTCCATCAGTTGAAACATGGACGGATTTGGTGGTACTTTAAAGTGAATTTTGGCTCTGGACTCACTGACCAGCTGTGTGTCCATCATCGGGTGTTTTTAACCATACATATTTGATCTCATCTGAGAATGAAAGAGATGATGGAACCTCATAGAAGGATGACAATCAGAGCAGAGCTCCACAAATTGGATCTTCGTAAAAGATCCGGCGTCTTTGATTGAAGTGAAACGGAAATGCTGCAGGGAGATTTGATCAAAGCTGCAGAAGAAGAAACCGGAGCGGCACACAGACGAGGAAACCTCTCCTCCGGTTTGATCGCTGGTGCTGCCAGAACTGAAACAGTCGGAGAGCTTTTCAGCCTCCCAGCAGAGCACGCTTTGGTGATCAGAGCTCCACTCTCATGCGAACACACCCAAAATCAGCCTGGTGACCTCCACAGCTGATTAAGAGCCACATAAACCTCCACTTCTCTGCACAAACGGGGCGCCATTGTTCATAGACGGCGTTTCCGTTTCCATGCGGGGCTCAGCATGGTGGTGGCTGCATCATTTTAGGGGATACGTCTCTGCCACAAGGGCACGGCACGCAGAAAGTGTCTCATTCTAACACCTTACATCTTTTCAGGTGAAAGAGTGGGCGCCATTAACTGGGAAGGCCAAGCAAAGCAAGTCTGAGGACAAGTTCTACTCAGATGAAGGAGAAGACAAAGACGAGGAGGGGTCGGACAGCAGCGGCAGTGAAGACAGCAGCAGCAGCAGCAGTGAAGGTCTGTGTCTCCGTTTACTTTGTTTAGCTACCCGAAAGCTGTGCGGGGTGCGTTTTAAATCCGTCCGTCTCCACGAGCAGGGTCGAGCAGTGAGAGCGAGGACGAAAGCAGCGACGGGTCAGAGAAGACCTCCAGCGATTCCGGGAAGAATTCCAGCGGCTCCGAAAAGAGCTCCAGCGAGTCCGAAGTGGAACGGAAGAAGAAGAAAATGACCAAGAAGGCACCGCAGAGGAAGAGCAAACCGACTGCTACTGACAGGTGAGCTGAGCTCCCTCCTGTGTGCCGCGGCCTGAATGAGGTCCGACCAGATGTCACGCCCTTCTGCCAGATGTTGCCCCCTTCTTCCACCCTCTGTCTTCACTTAGCTAATGAGACAGATTTCAGCTGTTTGTATTCAAATATATATATATTTGCTTGTATATTTGAATACACACATCTATATTTTTTTGCACAAAAATTCACAGATCGAAGGAAATTATCTGTCTCGCAGCCTCTTCTGGGCCGGACAGATTTATTTTACCATGTATAACCTCCTTTCTCCCCCCCACACAGTCTCTCAGGCTGCTACAGTATCGCCAGTTTGAGATCCATTAACGGGCTAATCAAGGAGAATTTTCCTCCTGTAGCGCAACCCACATTTACATGGCTAATGGATAATGACTTTTGATTGGTCATTTAGCAGCCTGGTGTTACCAATGAATGAGATTTGAGTCATTACTGCTGAATATGCTCGCGCACACTCCCTTACACACTGGCAAATTTAGTTTCTTATGCACTCGACTTCATTTGCTCGCGGACACACACATTCACATCGAATGTACCTGATTTTGCTGTGTGACAGGCCGCCGACTGACCCTGTTCTCTCCATTAGAGAATATAATTAGAGCAACTCACCCCGGTGCTCAAACACACACAAACACGCGCACACACGCGTACACTGAGTAATTAGAGCAGCTCACCCCAGTGCTTCCACAACAAACACAGCATAATGCCCTCATTATGGCCCAGTCATTTCAGGCAGGGCCTAATCAGGCCCACAGTGATTTATATCACTTTTTCCTGTTCGCAGCAAATGAAATCTGTAGGCCAAATTAATACTGGCTTTTCATCATCGCCCAAGTTAAAAAGCCAGTTACCGTCACAATTCCCCTCATTAATTTAACGGCTGAAAATCCCAGGCAGGCGGAGTAAACACTCATTATCGGAACAAATTGAAGAGGGGCAGCCCAAGTGGAAGAGAGAGGAGAAAGATGGAAAAAATCTTTTTGAGCAAATGCAGCATTGAATTAACGGGCAAACAAAAACAGATTGATCTTTGTTGTTTTGATTGGGCCGGGCTGGCGTTTGGGGGGGGGGCACAAAGTTCACTTTTTAAAGAACGTGAACACAGAGTGATTTAGGTGAGACTGGGCAGACTGGACTGGCTGCGCCGTCATGCGTGTCGGTTTCTGGTGTCGACTTGAGATGGATGTCTGATGGCTCTCCCGTGTCTCCCAGCGACTCGGACGAAAACGGAAACGGACCCGTGGCCCAGTCCAGCAGCTCGTCAGCCGAGAGCTCCTCAGACTCCGACTCCGAGTCGGAGGATGAGTCGGATTCGGACTCCCCAACGCCGCAGAAGAAGACTGGAGCAAAGGCCAAACCTAAGGTGAACCCAGCATTTAGCTGCTTTTTGGTGAGATGAGCTGATAAAGAGTCTTTCATAAAATAGTCGAATAAGATAAACAATACCCATGATGGATCTTGATGTTTGAAGTTGTGAACATAACTATTTGTGTTGTGAATTTCCACCTGTGTGTGCAGTGACATCACAAGCAGGGGGGGGGCTCCCTCTGAGTGTTAACACCACGTTCCTCTGACTTTATGTCCTGTGAGCCATAAAACATCCTGATTTACGCTCTGGAATAAGATTTGTCTCTTCCATCGTTATTTCTGCTGTTTTCTCTGAAGCGGTCACCATCTCTTTGTTACCTGAGAAGCTCATGGCGTCATTTCTAACCCGCCCCTTTTGCTTTCCCGCACTATGAAATTCTCATTTCGCACACTTTGTCATTTGGAGCACGGCTTATGAATTATGCATCTCTGCCTCCATCTCTTTCTACATGGCCCTTTAGTAACAAGGTTTCCATCTCTATTACCGCCACCACGCGCCAATCAGAGAAAATCTGATAAGATACAGCCTCTAACTTTCTGCTTTGTTTTCTCCCTGTTTCATCACTTGCTCCTGTGTCCTCTCTCTCTGCTGCCTGCTCAGCCTGGAATGCGCACAGTGGAATTTCATGCTCCTTTATGTGCTTCGAACAGAGCCGGGTTGGCTGTGAGAGGGTATGGAGAAAGCGCGATCAAAGGCGCTCGTACCTTTTAAACGCGTTTTTATTTGGGCTTTTGTGGCGTGAACTGGAGCCCCGGGTTGTAATTCCCTCGAGATCAGCTCCTGGAAAGCCGGGATCGGCCGCATGAGGTGGCGTGCAGCGGTTGTGACACGCTAAACCTGCATGACCGATCACCCATTCTTCCAGGCATGTTGCATATAAATGCAGAGTACGTCTTTTTTTGTTTTTGTTTTTTCGGGAGGTATGTGTCGCATCTGCAGGGACACCGTCGGTGAAATTGAAACATTTCACCCTCTGAGCGAGAGGCTCACGCAGTTTGAGTTTTTCTCTTTAACCCCCTCATCCTCTGAGTTGCTCACAATCAAACTGCTGTGTTTGCTTTTTAGGCGGCCGTGCAGTCCAAGAATGAAGTCTCTTTGTTGGATCTTGATGACTGTGAGTTCCTTTTTGAATTCTGCTTACATAATGATGCTTACCAGCAGCTAAAAGCTGCGAAATGACGATCAAAAAAGGGCCCCCAAATCATACACACAAAGATGGGGAATTCTCATTGAAGAGAGTTTAAATAAGGCTTCATGGCCAAAAACAGAGCTGAAGTGAGAGTGAAAATGTAATCAGCATTTTATTGTCATCCACCATGATGTACAAATGGATAAATCCTTAATTTCCCCTTTAACAACCACCATAAGTTTAAGGTTGTAGGAGGCAAATCTGAACATATAAAGACTTAAATGATTTAGTTATATATCTTTATATGCATGTTATATTCTTTCTAAATATGATCAGAATTCCTCAAAGAAAATATTACCTCAAAAACAGTAGAAGAAATTGTTCTCATGACTTAAAATTCAATAATTACGCAGTGGACATCCAGAAGTATTTTGTGTATTAGATTTTTCTTATATTTGTTTCTGTTTTCATTCTTTTTTTTTTTGTTAATTTCTTCCATATGTAAATGATACTAAGCAGTGGAAACACAGCAACCCTCCTTTGCTCCTGATCTGAGTCAACAAGTTTTTTAAGTAGAGTCATGGGAATTGCTGGCTTTGATGCTAAGACAGCATCTTTAGATGCTTAGACAGAAAACTGTGAGGCTGCCTGTGGCTGCCTGTTATGAAAGGAAAGGAGATAAATCTGTGAAGTCAAGTGTTTTTGATGGATTCACTCTTCAAAGAGGAGCAGAGGTTTCTCTCAGTGGAGACCAGAGCTTTCCAATGGCCTTTTCCCACAGCTGACTCTGATGTTACTGCCCGAAGACATTTCTTAAACCCTCTGTGGAACTGCATTCAGTGAAATGCTGTTTGTGGAGTTTCTGTAGTTTCACATTCTTGCTACAGCAATAACTTAAGTTGAAGTTTGGAAAACAGGAAGAATTTTTCAAATATTCTGCTCTATCCTGCATCTTTGTAGAAGGGAGTCCTTAAAGAGACAGCCGCCAGATTTTAGCCTTTCAGACAGAAAGTGACATGGTGTTCAAGCACCCCACGATATTTAGTAAAATAATGTGTTTAGTTGAGCATTAAATCAAGCAAACCGATTCAAGTGAAACCCACAAATGAAATTACAAACCTTTAATATGGTCTCCTTTGGCGCCTGTACCCAACCATAAGTTTTCCCTCTATTGCTCCTTTATCCAATCTAACGGTATTAATGTAAGATTTGTTAATTCTTAACAGGCAAAGCCTTGTATCGTCTAACAGTAATCAGTGCCTCTGCATGAAAACAGGTCAGAATGCTGCTGCTGAGCCTCATTCAGTTTCACTCAATTCCAGATATGATCATCCTTCCCGAGAAGCACATGAACTGAAACGGTTTTATTTCATGCCTGCTTGGCAAACATAACTGGGAAGCAGCGAGAGACGAGGGATTATGGTTATTTTGCAAGGGCAACAATAAAAGATGTTCTTAAATTCGGCTGATTATTAGGTTTTTTGCAGTGAAGCCTCCTGGTGCTTGAAGTTGAATTAGCCCTCCAGCTTTGTGTGACAAATTTCAGTCCAATCGGGATGGAAGAAGGGATCGAGAAGGCTCTAAAGCAACCGCAAAGAAGTTTTTGACTATAACAGCGTGCATAAGATGCCCAATTGGTTGGTCAAATTTATGTTTAGTATATTATATAAGCAGCTTTTCCTATGTTCTCCTATGGTTCTCTAATGTTCCAACTCGTGTCTTGTGATACATTCGGGGGATTCTGGGGGTGTCTGAACCTGATGAAATTAACCTTTCTAGCTGTGCGTGTACAGGGTTCAGACAGAGGTTTGTGCTTCTGAGAGGCTCAAAAGATGGGATTCAGGCCCTAAAAATCTTATTTTAAAGATTTGGATCCGAGTGAGGAAATCTTTGCAGGCTAAGCTTGATGCAGCCGTCTTTTTCTTCTTCTTCTTCTGCGCCCAAAATGCTGCTGTGACATCAGCACATCTGGACAGCCTTACATTATTGAAGCTCTAACATGCTTTAAATCTCTTTCCCCCTCTGTCAGTCTCTCCAGCACCCACCAACGCGCCGAAGCCTTCGGCCGTCTCTCCCAGCCTGCTGTCCGACCTGGAGGGCCTCTCTCTCTCCAACGTCTCCTCCGCCATTCAGGTCAGTGGACAGAGCGCCCGCCGCTGCATCGGAGGCGCGGGGTGACATTTACCCCGCCGGCAGTCGATTGTTCCTGTCTGTGCGACACCGACGGTGCAGCACGGCGTCCTGTGAGACGGCCAAATGAGCCCGTCTCCCCGGTGGAACATTTCTGCTCCAGACGCCAACTATCGACCTTTTCTGCCTCCTTATATTTATAGCCGGTGAGGACGGCGCAGCAGCTCTCCCCGTTTCCTGCGTCTCTTACAGTCTGTCTCCCTCACCCTCTCCGTCTTTTTGCTCTCCCACACCCTTGAACTCGATTTCTGCGTCTCATCTGAAAGTCCACCCGCTCTGTTTCTCTCCTCCTCTCTGCCACCTCCCATCTCTCCCTGTCAGATGTTGGGTCCCTGGTGTCTCCATGTTGTGTATGTCTGATGGTTGACCTTTCCTGGTGTGACAGCTCCTTTCTCTCCTCAGTTTATGTCTGTGTGTTTTGTGTCTCGTCTTCCCCTGGGGGGAAACGTCCAGGCTGTTTTCTGTGCTGTGTCTATTTTGTGTGACAGAGTCAGATCTCTGCTGGTTGCTCTGTTCAAATGTTTGAAATCAGGCCTAAAAACACACAAAACAAGATTTACAGATTAGATTTCACTCAGTTGAGCTCTGTCACTGCTGTTTGATTTGATTGTTGGATTTGTTTTGTTTTTTTATTTTATTATATTTTTTTATAAATTGAAATATATAAAATTATTAAATAAACTTTAAACTTTAGATAATTTACCAAAAACTTTAAACCGTTTATGAAATAGCTGTTTATTATCTGTTAGCTTTTATCACACCTTTTTTTATAATAAAACACTCTAAATATGGTTATTAATAATGTTTAAGAATATTCTGCTCAGGCTTTTTCCCCCTCTGACAATTTAGTCATGCAAGAAAAAAAAAGCATTTTAACTTGACCAAAAATACCAAAGATCCAAAGAAGGAAAAAAAGCTGAACCCATAATCTAAACACTGTGCTGATCCTTTTAGCATTATTCAAGAGTTTTGCTCAAAGGTGGTTTACCATCACTTTGCACATAGAATTTTAGCTTCTTAAATCTCTTTATAAGATTATTCAGACTTTGTAGGAAATAATTCTGCAATTTCTTGTAAAAAATAAAGCACACAGAGAAGATGCTTCGATGCTTTTAAAGTCTTTCATTAATGACTTGCATAAGTTGAAGCTAATTAAACTGTTTTTATGACAGAAAATACTTTGCGCCTTTTTAATTGCATGTTTTGCCTTTAAGAATTTGACCCAGAGGCCCCGTACACACCTGGAAAACACAAGTTCTAGCTCTAAATTTAGCTGTAAACACATCCAGGAAAACATTTAAAGCGTTTCAACCAGCAGCTGAAAGAATTTCAGCAACTTAGAAGCCAAAAGGTGATCTAAAACTTTCAAACTATTCCTCTGTTTAGCTTGAAAGTAAAAGGCTTGAATTGAAATGCTGCAAATGATCATTCAGGGCTCAGTCAGCGAGCAGGAAAATCCCCAAAGCACAGCCGGCCTCTCAGGGCTGTTTTAGGGTAACTATCCTCGCCAAACACTGCTTTGCCTAACGTTCCCGTCCTGGAAATGGAGGAGATTGAGAAAAGGACAGAATAAATGAGATTGTGTTAACGCTGAAGGACCAAGTCAGCACCCCGCCCCCCCTCTGCCTACATGTAGTGCTCAGAGACTGTAGATGAATCTTCTACGACTCACCACAGGGAAACGTCTTCTTTTTCGGTTTGAATATGCTGCCTTTGCTTAAAAAACAATCTCAAACTGGAAAAAATCCAGGTAAAAAAGGGGGTTGTAAAGACTTCCCTTTCTTGTTGGATGAAGTGGATTTTTTTAGTTAAACATGAAGCCAAAACATAAATGAAGCCTACAGTAAAGTGGTAGAACTCATTTTGGATATGTAGAGTTTGAGCTAAAAACATCTTGCAACATAACCTTACAATCCTCATAACATGACCCCCCCCACCCCCGTGTTCTTGCCCACTTTTGGCTCTCTGACCGCCCCCCCACCCACTCACAGGGTCCCAGCTCTGCTCCGTACCACACATTGAGGTGAGTTAGCCCACAGGTTGAGTCTGCCTGTCACTCAGATTGATTGACGGCTGCTCTCAGGACGGCGTTTATGCAGCAGGAGCCTGGTTAACCGCGCTCTCCTCCTCAGGTGAAGGCCAGCCAGTAATAGAGAATAGAAATGCAGATTAGAACGGGGAACTTTTTGCACATCAACATCTGATTTAGAGTCAATTCTATGCATAAATACATGATGGGCTACGGGATTCACAGACAAGGGTAAATAACCTCACCTTTTTTTTCGCACAGACACACACACACACACCGCTCGCCGTGCAGCACACAAACACACACACACTGGCCTCGGTGTCATTTCTATTTCTCAGCAATCTGCCCACAGAGGCAGCGAGTCTGTCTCAGCTGAGCGCTCGGGCCTTTTTAGAGAATTACTGCATGGTTATCAAAGGCATTTAGATTAACCCTGGTCACTGTCTTTGACCCACCTCCTCTCCTGCCTCCTCCTCTCCTCAGCTTCTGCATGCTGCCGCTCTCTCTAATAACATTTTGACATTAGGATCCCTCACAAACGCCTCTTAAATCCCCCGCCCTCCCCAGCCCGAACCTCTTCCGACCGCTGTCCGTGTGTGCGGCGGGGTGGCTCGGGCTGATAACTTTTCATTCATAATTAGCAGCCGGCGAATGGGGCTGCGTTGGGGGGAAATTGAACTGTCAGCAGCGGGGCGCAGGGTGTTTGACCCCATCACGCCCAGAGGGGGCCATCATAATTTGTTCATTTGGTGTCCATCAGGCGGGCGCCAGCTCATCCCCTCCTCCCGCTCCGTCTCCCTCCTCACCCCTCTGACCTCCCCCGTAGTGGGCGCTCCGGGTTCACGTCTAATTATGAATCAGCAGAAAGACCTCGCGCGGCCAGGAATATAGCAGCTCCTGCCCTCCAAACCTCCCGCTGCCACTCAAGCTGCAGAGAAAGCTTCTTAAATAGGAATAAATGCCCAGAAGGAAATGGCCAGTGCGTGCAGGGGCCTGAGCAGCCAGCTGCTGGAAATGTGTGAGTTTTAATGCAGCTGCTGGAGGAGTTGTTTGCGTTTTTCCGCAGTTTTAGTGATGATGCCAGTAGCCGTTGCTAAAAACAGCTACATACGGTTTTAAGCTACATACCTACTAATAAAATCTAGGTCGGCCACATAAGATTAGAGTTCACCAGACTTCACTTTTTAAGACTTTCAATGCCTCCGTTTCAAAAAGATGAGATGTAGACCATGACATTAAAAATCCTTGGCCTCCATCTGCTGTTGACATCATTTGCTTCTGGATAAATCTTGGTTAATTTGACATTTGTCCAGTGGATCGGAGGTCTTTGCATCAGATTTGCCTTTTGGCAAATCATTTAAGATGGAAAAGCATCCCGAATTTAAGTCAGGGGCACAGAAACAAAAGAGTGCATACCACAGTTATGCAGCTCTTTCTTGGTCACTCACAGCTGGACTTCTGTTCAGATGACACTGTGATGATAAAATCTATATTTTATTAGAGCAGAGCAACCACAGTCAGGTAGAACGTACTATTATTTAATTTTTTCCCTCTTTTTTTTACCTTGAAAGTGAAGTGAGGTATTAAGCAAAGAGGCACCACTGACTTAGGACACAATGGGATGCCTTTCAGTCTGAACTTTTCTTAAAGACTTGATTTTGAATTATTACATCTTCCTAAATAAGAGTGTGAGGTTAGGCATTAAAAGTGGGAGAATTGGGGTAATTCTGAAACAAATGCTAACTTCTTCCATAATCTGGTGCATACGCTGAATATCTGAATGAGAATCGGTTGTGGCCCTTTAAGGGAGCACAAACGGTAAACTCCTAAGTCATGTTTTTAAATGCGTGCTCACACTTTCTCTGACCTTTGTTTTCCTAAAGATAAAAAAATGCATGTTAAGTATTTGAAGATTTGATTCACTTTGTTCAGCGCAAAGGAGAAAAAAGTCATGTTAAAAGTGTTAATAGTTGCTTTGCCAATTCGATGCACCAAAACGTCACTGTCTTCATCTGATAGGTGTGAATTCTATCTTAAAAAGCATTAATATCTAACTGTATGTGGAGCAGTGCTTTCTCCTTTTTATTCTTTGATTAATCATTAGATTTAGCTTTAGTTCAGCTAATGTCAGAATAATAGAAAAAGTGTAAGCTGTGTCTTCACAACTCCTGTAAAACTGGATGAAGGACACCGTTGCCTCAGAATAACAGTCCTCTATTAATGCTAATGTTCTTTAATGGAAAATTTCAAAATTAATCATTTTGGAATATCTAATTTAGGGACAAATTGGCGTAAATGAACAAACCGCTGTCTGTATGCGCTGGAGAGGCTCCTCGTGACATTAAAGCAGTTTTATATGGCTGTAGAAACATTTATTTAATTCAATCTACAGTCAAGGTCTTTTTGACACCCCTCAATTAATTGTCATCCTCTGAGTGAAGGGAACAATTAGGTCCTAAAGTCAAACACATGTCCCTTAATCTTCCCAAACTCTTGTCAAGCATAATGAAATCCTGTTGTGGGTCTATGAGGCAGACAATGCCAGAAAAGCAGGAATGGATTTTCGATACATGGCCCTGAATCTCTTTCCCCCCCAAATTGGCCTCCTTATGCGCACAGCACAAGGCTGCCCGCCTCCTCGTAGCCCTTTTGAATATGTCAGCGGGATTTTCAGGTCATTTGCCAGAGAGGATGCCGGGAACGCGGCGTCCGTGCTCTGAAGGTGACTGGTGTCTGTGTCATCCATCACAGGTGCTTCCTTTAAGTTGATGCATAATAGAGCCTCTCAATCAACTTCCCCGCTTATTGTCACCTCCCTCCTCCTTCCCGGCCAAGGTGGAGACTGCCAGCCGGAGCCATAGAAGAAAGGGGAAAAAAAAAAAAAAAAAAGGACAAAAAAAGAGAGGGACGGGGGGGGGGGAAGGGGAGGGGAGGGCGGGGCGGGGGGGGGGGGGGGGGGGGGGGGGGGCACTAGTGTCAGACTTTAACGGTCCACTGTGTCAAATTGGTGATAATAAGCAGTTTGAGGCGGCTTCCTGCGGCCGGCGCCCGCCCGGGGGGCCAGGCGTGGGACAGGACCTTGAAGCGGGATGTCTCTGTCAGGGAGGTAAATCTGTGTTGTGATGGGGTGGCAAACGTTACGGCAGGCTTTATCGACACCGACTGCTCTGACACGTCCAAAAGTGGCCCAATAAATCTGCCGGCTGGCGGCGGCGTGACGGGCACTTGTGAGGGTGTCACAGTGTTAGTTTGACCTCCTTTTTTTTTTTTTTTTTTTTTTTTTTTTCTAACAGGCACCTGGACAGCCTGGTCACGAGAGATGATGCTGGCGTTGTTAAACAGAGTGTAACTGTGATTACTGAACCGAAAGCCGTCTTCTCCCTCTAAGCAAGTGTCAGATGTGCCAGCCAAACTCATCATGAGCTAATTTGAAGGGATTTTTAAAAAATGGTTTGAACTCAATTTGATTTTGTTGTTTTTAAGGATATTTGCATCACCACGGTATAAAAGATGGTGCAGAAAATGTTTAAAAGTTTGGACAATATACCATCAAATAACAACTTAGTGACTAAAAAAAACAAAGGCAATGACATGAAAAATGCCCTCCACTCTCATCTGGTGAGTTTACTAGAATTGTCATGCTAATTTAAGCAGGTGACAGAAAAAGGAAAGGAAATTATATCAATTTCTTGTTTTCAGATGTCACTAATTCAGTTTATATATTCAATTATGAGGTGATGATCACTTAAAACCACTCAGGACTTCACAAAGAAGAAACTAAGTAAGGGAAGAATGAAACTTTTTGACCTATAAGCAAAAAGAAGAAAGAAATTCCCTCTGTGATCAAGTCTCCATCTGATTCAGCTCAGTGATTCCAACAAAGCCATAAAGCCATAAATGTGCTGCTTTGTTCCTGAAAACCTCCCATGAGGAGAGAATAAACCACAAGGAACATAAAGCAACTGCTTAAATGGTTTTGGTGATATTTGGGTTAAGCAGCCAGTTGCACCCGGCTGGGTTAAAGGGACGCTGCGGTTCACCAGTCAGCCGGCTCCGTGCTTTAGCCGCCTGGTTCTAGTCCTTTCTGCAAGAAAAAGGGCCAAAGGGATTCAGTTAAAGCAGTTTGCCTGCTCTGATGTTAAAAGCTTCACAGCCTCCAACCATTCCAGCAGGGTTTCGATAAATAAGACGACGAAGCCTTTTACCTAAATGAGCTTCAAACAAAGAGAATAGTCTGAGTGAAACGCTTGTTTGTTTGTCCAAGCATTTTCTTACCGGTGACTTGCCTTTCCAGAAAAAAAAAGAAAATGTGAACACACACACACACACGGGGTTTGGTTGTCCTGTTCTTTGTTTCAGGCATCAAACTGAATCATCATGAACAAAACAAAATGCTACAAAGTCATGACATAGGACTGGTATTGGACACGGTGAAGACTTGGCTCTATTAGGAGCATTCATCTGTAATAAGTGTTGTGGAAATTCTATTTTAAAGCAAGAGTCTGAGGAAGTAAGAAATAGAAATTTATTAGAAAAAGAAAACTTCTTGAACTGAGAGCAACCAGCACAACCCGTCCCTGAGAAAGCTTTTACGTTACAGCTCCATTAGTCCATTCCAGATGTTTCCTGCTGCGTTTTCATTGAGCATCAGAACATCTAAAGCAAATAGGATGTTGATGTTTGATATTTTTGGGCTTTTATAGTTCGAGATGTTCATAGTTCCAGTAAAAATGTGCAAAAAGAAAACTGATAAATCACTGATACATCGAGCTCATCCACTAAAGCCGTAGTAACGCCGGCTCGCTGCCTCTTTGACCGTGTTTATCCAGATCCCACTCTGTCATATTTGATTACTTTAATTACTCCTCACACTTCGCCTCGTCATTAAAGCCGCTCACAGGGTTCTGTTTTTCTGGAGTCGACGTGTGTTTTTGCCCATATTTGAATTTTTTTTATTTATTTTTTTTACATTGCTGATACTTTTTAAGAGTTAGATTGTTATTTTTGTTGTATCTCTCACGTGTGGTAAACAGACGTGTGTGGACTCCCCACTCGGCGCGTTCAGGTGCTAATCATCTGTTAAATAAAAGCTGTTTTTCATAGTCGTTCTTTAGTTCTCTACGCTGTCACTCCAGTGAGGGTGACCTTTGGCTCTTATTGAAGAGATTAAAGAAACTGCTTCAAGTTGTCAAACTTTTCTCTCGGTTTTTATTACTTATCAGACGTCGGAGGCGTGTCTGGGGTTTTGTGGACACCTGGCACGTGGCGGCCTCGCGCCGCGTGGGCCGAGCCGCCTCCCCGCGCTAATGAGAGCTGACAGTTTCCAGCATCAGGAGAAAATCCGCTCCAACAACAGCGAGAGGTGTTCGTCTGCGACTCGAGATGTTAATTTTTAGGATAAAAAATATATATAAAAATAGAACTCCGCCTCCTTCTTTTTTTCTTTTTTCTTTTTTTTTCCTGTTCTGTATATCTCTACGGTAATCTAATTTTCTGGCTCTGAAAAGCTAAAAGCCTCCCGGAACGGGGGGCGAGCGGCAGGCCGGGCCCGTTCAGGCACTTGTGTTTCTATTCATTAGAGGCTGTTTTCATTCAGCCCGCCTCGCCGGAGCATCCAGCCCATTTCCAGCTAACTGGGCTGATTGAGGACATTTCTCTTTAGCCTACAGAGTTAATGAAAGGAGGGTTGGGGTCGGTCCCACATCGCTAAAAAGCAGTGCATTCTCGCAGCCGATTGGGTGAATTCAATCGCATCAAAGGAGCGGAGATTGGCAGATTAGTCGGGCTGCTTTTGTGGATGCATTTGCTGTAAATGTGTCCCAGCGTGTTGTGTTAATTTGGAGAGCTTTACATTTTGAAGAAGCTCTCAGGGCTTTAATGTTTGTCCGTATACAATAAAGATGCCTCATTTTAATGCAACCTCTTTTCTTCTCTGCGGGTTCTGTGTGCTTGGCGCCCTTCCAGGTCAACGCCTCATCCTTCGGGCCCGTCAAAACCTACGAGCTGCTTCACCACATGACGGGAAAAGGCCTGTCGGCCAAATACCACTTCCCCCGGCAGCCCTGTCTGTACCAGCCCAGCATGGTGGCGGTGCAGGTGATCCTGACCAACGGCTCCGACCAGAGCCTGGAGGAGATCCATATCGGAGACCGGAGCCCAGCAGGGCTCAACATCCACTGCTTCAACACCATCGGTGAGTAGCAGGTACTCACATGGTCCAAAAGTCCGGGCCAATTGGTCGATTTTCTTAAAACTGATGCAATAAAATATTTCATGGCTTCACAACATTGTTGTGGTCACAAAACAAATGTAACATATATATATATATATATATATATCACCTATGTCTAAATAGATTCTAGATGTTGGACCTCCTTTTAACAGGTTTAACATTTTCTCACAAATTAATGAGTTAATTTACTTAAAAAGGAAATGACCCCTTTTAACCACTTTAAAGTCAAATAAAACATCAATCCCTATCATTTTCTAAGTATATTGAGATTTTCTCATCTGTGTGGAGTATTTTTAATAGTCACAGATCCGTAAAAGAAAAAAAAATCTCTTTAAGGAGCAAAAATCTGAACAAAATGTGTAAAACTGACACCTTTTCCATCCCAAAAACATGTCAGATCCCCTTAGTTCTGTTTTCCACATTTCCAAACGGTCTTTTTATCACCTAAACGCCCACTAAAAGAAATAAATGTCAAATAGTTTGTGTAAAAGGGGGCTCTAACTCGACGAATAATTCTTTTCCCGAGTCCGCTTTCTCTTTGAAACGAGGCTGTCAAGGTGGGGGATCGCCATGTAGTTTTCTCTAAGCTCATCAAAAGGCCAATCGCATTTCTACAGTCTGAGTTGAGTATTCTGATTTATTGTCATGCCACTCAAGTCTTTGCTCCTCCATGTTTGAGGTCACCTTTGTTTCTCTGCCGTGGCTTTTTAGATTTGTGCATTCCATGCTGCCGTCGTCGGCCGGGACAGATATTAACCTCTAAGCCTGTTTGCTATCAGTTCAGCAAATAGCCCTGTCCCATTTCCCCAACCTGAATACAGCCCGCATTACTTCTTCTAATCCCTGCTCTGTGCTATCGATCATATTTCCGCACCCCTCCGTGTCTGAAGCCCCGGCGAGCGGCCCTCCTCCTGAATTTAATTTTCATGTGTGCATGAACACACGAGCGCGAGGGACAGAAGCGGTGTGCGGCAGAGCATGTTAAAGCTGCCAATTGGAGAGGGGATTGATTGGGCATCGAAGGAACTCAAGCAGCCAAACGGTCGGTAATGCGGATCGATCGGGCCCGGCCGCCGTGAGCGGGGGGGCCGGATTTAGTTTGGAGAAGTTGCCGGGGATGAATGCAGACAAAGCTTTATGTAGTGCTGTTTTGTGTTTGTTAGGTGAAGGGGTAAGACATGACAGGGTGTGTGTTTGGTCAGAAATATTGCTCTTCCACCACAGAGGGGCAGAGCTTTCTGCTGCCGCTGCTCAGTGGAGCGCAGACGGAGGTTAACCTCTAATCTAACAGGTAGAAATTAAGCAGCATTTGTGATTTGCTTTCTGTCTTTCCACAGACATGTCCGAAACCAGCTAACAGCTTATTTACCAACTGATTACTGTCAATTACTTGAATCTAACAACTAACAACTTGTATCGTACGCTCAAAGTGACTCAATGGACTTGTCTTGTTCCAAAAAGTCACATTAGAAAGCAGGGCGGCTAACGTTAGCCGCCATCTTTAAAATCTGAAGCAGGTGCTTTTCAAACCATCGAAAATGTCTTTAAATTCGCTGTTAAGTTTTTCAACGATCACAATAACACAGACTTGTGCTCAACTTTTATTTGATATTGAATATTTTTCTATTAACTTGACATTTCATCTGATCTACATCATATAAACTTCCAAGAGGCCAAATTACTTTTATTGGATCAGATACGGATGATGAGCTGATACTTTATCTATATCTTGCAAGCAGCGTCTTTTTTGCCGGCCTTTTTAAAAACAAAAACAAATAAATCTAATGATTTATGCTCTCAAATGCGTAGGAAATAAAGATAGACCCAGAGATTGAGAGCCTGCTGGAGCCAGTGAAGGCTGGATTGGAAGTGAGTCCATGATGGCTTTGTTTTCAAAGAGGGGGTCCTCTGGAGACTTTGCTCTCCTCTTCTATCTGTGGAAAGGTTAGACGGTAAAATAGATTTGCTCCGTGGAGAGAGAGAGAGAGAAACACATGCCGATCGGGGATGCGTGGAGGATGTTTCTGTCCGTCTCAGCCCCCCCCCCCCCCCCCCCCCCCCCCCCCCCCCCC